ACAAGGACTGAGGTAAATGGATTTTAAGCTTGAAGAGCAGTCCGGAGTGCCATACCCGGTCAAATGCCTGTGCAATGTCCAGAAATGCACCCGAACAGTATTCCTTGTTTTCTAGGGCTGAGGAAATATGATCAACAACTCGGAGTCCTTGTTGAACAGTGGAATGTTGGGAGCGAAAACCAAACTGATGGGAAGGAATATTTTGGGATTCTATAATGGGTAGGATTCGTTTCAAAAGGATCTTTTCAAAAATTTTTGAAAGGATTGGGAGTAGGCTAATTGGTCTATAGGATGTTGAGATATTGGGAGGTTTGCCTGGTTTTTGGAAAAGGATAATAGTGGAGTGTTTCCATAGCAGAGGAAAGTGGGTGGTGCGTAGGATACAGTTGTAGATATATGTAAGGAATATGACTGCTTTGGATGGAAGTTGTCGAAGGATTTGAGGGGTAAGGAGATCATGTCCAGGAGCTTTACGGGGGATTAATTTTTTTAATTGAAATTTCACTTCGGAAGGATGAATAGCTTTTGGGGGCAAGGAAAGTGGGATTGGTGATGTAAGGAATTCTTCTACTGTTACGGTGTGGGCAGGATGGGATTCCGGATGTGAAATAAATGTATTGGATAGGTGAATGGCGAACTCCTCAGCCTTATCTTCGTCAGATGCTGCCCAGGAGCCATCATCTCGTCGGAGGGGATGGGAAATGCGGTGAGGATTTAAGATTTTGGTAGTGGTTTTCCAAAGGGAATTGTCGCGAGAAGAAAGGGAGGATAGGTAGGAGTTGAAGGAATGTGATCTGAAGGTGGCTAATTCCAGTTTTAATTTTTTGCAGTAATAATTATAGGAGCAGCGGTCGGTAGGATGTCGGGTACGTTGCCACAATAATCTGGCACGGCGTTTGGTTTGGATTAGGTCAAGGAGGTGTTGGGGTAGAATGGTCTTTTTAGGAATTCTGGAGGAGTCTTTTGGGAAGGAAGCAGTCCAGGCGGCTTGTTGGATTGTGGTAGTAAAGGAATTTACGGCACTATCAAGGTCATCGGGAGTTTTGAGGGATATGTTAAGATCAATTTTATCGGAGATGATTTGGCGGAAAAGGTCCCAGTTAACTGGGCCCCTAATAAATGACGGTGGAGAAGGTTTGGGAACGGGTTCAAGTGAAACATTAAGGATTAGAGGACTATGGTCAGAGGAAAGTTCATTTAGACGTGTAATGGAACAATTGAGGGGACTTAAGCCGCTGTGGATAAAGAAATCAAGAAGATCAGGATTACGGTTGGGATCTGTAGGCCAGTAGGTAGGAGAGTTGGGGGAAAGGAGATGAAAATGTTGGGAATTGAGTGCAGACAGCAGGGTTCGGCCACGAGTATTCGTGGTTCTGGAACCCCATTGTTGATGTTTGGCATTTAGGTCTGCACCCAAGATGAAGTGATGTCCTAAGGAGTCGAGGAGAGAACGGAATTGGGCATTGGATATGGATCGGTTAGGAGGGCAATACGCTGATGCAAGGGTAACCGGAAAGGAAAAGGTTTTTATCACGATAGCGGTGGACTGTAGGAAATCATGTGTAGGTAACGGGAGTAGGTGATGGGAGAGGGATTGGTGTACAATGACAGCAGTACCGGCATGTGCTTTTCCGTCAGGGTGGTCAGTACGATATGTCAGGTATTGTGGTATTTTGAAGTGCTGTTTAGTGGTTAGTCGAGTTTCAGTAATTAGTGCCACGTCAATATTTTTGTCAAGTAATAATGTAGTTAGTTCGTTTGTGTGATTTCTAACACCATTCGCATTCCAAAGGAGAATGGATAAAGGTTTATTGGAAGTCATTTAAGGATTTTTCGCGGGAGGGATAAAATGTGATACAAGATTGGTGAGAAGAGATATCAAAGGAGTAACAAGGGATCTGAATTCGGAGAGGAAAGATGTAAGTAAACTGGTGAGATCTGTGGTATTTGAGGGAGGAGGAATGCGGGGAATTTGGTGTTGATAAAACTGTTGATTAGGTGAAGTTTGATTAGGATGTTGAGGGTGGGGTTGAGAATTTTGAGGTATGTGTTGTTGTTGCGGCAGGGTCTCACAATAAGTAACATCATTCTTACCTCCTAATAAGTGTGCAAAAGACACCGTTGGGTCAATTTTTTTTTAAGGTCCTCTTCTTGATGCGTTAGGTTCTCTTCTTGATGCCTCTGCTTCTTCTTGGGTCCGGGATTTTTGATATCTTGATTTAATATTCTTGTAGATCTGACAGCCTTTGTAGTTCGCTGGATGTCCTTCAAGGCACAATGCACAAACTGCAGGATCCCGTTTCGGTTTTGTGCACTCCCCGGATTTGTGCTGCTCTCCACATTTCACACAGCGCGGCAGATGATGGCAGTAAGTCCTGGTATGGCCATATGCCTGGCAATTGTGACACTGTACGATTTCCCTCTTAGGATATGGCTTCTCTACTATAACACTTGTGTAGTATATTCTTCTTATTTCGTATATTTTTTCGATCCCTTGATTTGGCTCCAAATCTACGAAAAATAAGGGTAGAGGAACTTTTACTCCTGGCTGTTCTTTACTCTCCTTCTGTACATTTGTAATCTGGCGCACTATGAAACCTGAAGTTTTCAATTCTTCTTCTATTGCTTCGGTTGGTGTTGAGGGGTGTAGATTTCTTATGACTACCCTCAAAGCTCGATCTTGCCGTAATTGGTACGTATGAAAATCCGCGTTGGTTTCCGTTAGATACTTCACAATTTTTCTGTAGGTTTCAGCTGTATCTGGTGATATCTTCGTGTCCTTTGTTCTGCTTAGACATGAATAGCTTCCAGAGCCTGTTATTTTGTTCAGTTGTGAGCATAGTAACTGAAAATTGCTTATGTTTTTAACGAATATGGGTGGAGGTCGGGGATCTCTTGGTATTGAAGCGGATTCCATCACTTCTTTATCATTCTGAAGCACCTGATAGGGGTTAGGGGTGAAAAACGGAGATTGTTCGGTTATCTCTTGTGAAGATGTACCTGGTTGATGCTGAAGTTCTTCAATTGTTGGTTTTGATGATGTTCCTGGCTGGGTTTCATTTTCTCTGGAGCTAATAGGCGTTACTGCAGGTGTTTGACGACATTGACGAGGCTTTTGTTTGACAGGCGAAGAACAAGGTGTTGAGCCTAACGGCCGAATTCTCTTGATAGAAGCTCTACTAGACATGGCCTGATTGTGAAATCGCATATAAGGGAAAAAAAAAATGAAAAAAAAAAAATAAAATAAAATAAAATAAAAATAACCCTATAATTTATAACAAAAAATAAATATCAATTGTTATTATGTATTCTTGACTTGTTTTGAATAAATAATCTCAAAGATTTCACTGCAAAATAAGTAAATTCTGAGAGACGATGTAGAAACACGTCCTTTCGCATCAGCTGATCCACTGCCACCCTTTTCCACTAATAACGCTAATACTTAATAACCTAATTTAACACTTTTTCACGGTTAAATGACAAACACTAAATTAGTTATTCTTCAACGACGAAATTGAATTGTCAGTAAATTGGCAGACAACGCTATTTCTTTACTATAAACGTTTTTCTATGGAGAAACTCCCTAATACTCTGATAAGAGAGGCAGAGCAGATCGGCCTACAAGTAAATGGAGACAAAACAAAATATATGATAATAAGCCGAAAATTCCACCCGAATAACAGGATCGGCGTACAATGAAAATCATTCCCGAAAGTAGAAAAATTCAAATATCTCGGTTCCACAATAACCTCAATGAATGTCCAACGGGAAGAAACAGAACAGCTTATATATAACTAGCGCAAAGAGATCTTTCTTCTTCCTATCAAAGGTATTGAAATCCTGGAAAATCACAAATTAAGGGTATACAATGATATTATGAAGCCAGTTCTAATATATGGTAGTGAGACCTGGACACTAACCAGTATCCTAGAAAAAAATGTTGAAAGATTTGAGAAAAATCCTCTACAGGATAAGCGGAGCTATCTGGGATCAGAGTATTAACAAATGTAGAATACAGACCAATAAAGAACTGCATATAGAAACTGGTCAATGAATATCCCATGACATGAAGGCACGGATGTTAAGATCCGTGTTTGTTAAGATCTGGAAGCTTTTGCGTAACAATGACTGCTTCAATAGAAGGCAAAAGACCACGTGGAAGGCCAAAAAGCAGATGGATGGATAGAATTAACAAATGCAACAGAGTTGCGTGTTGATAAATGGAAAAAATAGCCCAAGACAGGCAGAAATGGAGCAGGCTTCTTAAGGTGGCAAAAGATCTACCTGATCTGTAATGTCAACAGAAGAAGAAAGAAGAAACCAAATTCTTTCTTATTTTAAAATTTCAAGCTCCCTAAAAACGATGAATTTTGACGCCTAGAATGGTGCTTTAAGTGGCAATGTGATATCGTCTAAGTTAATGGATGAATTTAAAGAAAATTTAAATGTTCTTTCTGTAACCTTGGGTTCCTGGACACTCAAATGTAGTTAATAAGAAGGCGGATAGCCTTGCTAGCAAGGATTTAGAAGAGGTGCCATTATCATCTGAACCCATCTGTTGTATCAGCTTCAGATACGTCAGATATGGCGAAATTAAGATAAATTCTGAATGTTGGTGACCAAAAAACTAACTTGTCAAATACGATATGCAATTTATACGGATGAGGTCAGGGGGGGGGGGAATACATGGTAGGGAGGTCTGGCCTATGGTGTACCAAATCTACATTTCCCACAGTCAGAAGATCTCTTGATAAAATGTACTTTCCCAAAACGTCCTTATTATTTTTAAACATTTTTTCAGGTTATTGAATCAAATTGATTGATTTGTATCCCTTCTATTTTACAAAAATTATTTTGATAAACTTTCTTATTATAATCTTATTAATAATTATAAGATTTTTAAATTCGATGTAAATTTATTCTTAGATTCGAAGATATTATAATTATTCTTCATTAATTGTTTTGTTTTATATAGATTACTTCAGACAGAAATTAAATTTGTTATTTTAAAGGCTGTGAGTAGTATCATCTGATGGTTGACATTTGTTAGGTGTTGTATTCTGTTTCGGGTATTCTTCAAACGTATAATTAGATCTTATTTACTCGAAAAATGACTATCGTGACCAAACCTTTAAGTGAGAAAAAGGTAGAGAAACCTTTAGTTGATGACATCAAAGTTGATATCGTGGTATGTACACTATGCATTGAATAATCAATTACCAGTTATGGCTGCAAACAATTACAGGATATTTAACAACTATTTGTTTATAGTGCATATAATTTTATGTGAACATTTTTTTTTATAATGTATGACATTACCTTAAGTAACATTTTTAAATAAGGCACTTATAAGTATTTTTTAAAGATACTCTACCGCAAATTTTCATTGGTATTTTCAATAATTTAATTTGCGTGTATTCAGAAGTAAATAATCAGTCATAGTATTTAATTTTGTTTATGTTGGTGAAATCTTTGTTATAAAAGCACACTTAAACTTGATTTTGGTCTATTGATTGTTTTTAAGATTGCATTGTTTTAGGCTCTAAATGAAATGTCAGATTTTTGTTCACTTGACTTATACCAGGTCTTAGAGAACAAGTTAATTTAAACTTTGATTTAATAGCTTAGCACTTTATTTTACTTGTGCTCATTTAGTCATCAAGATGATGCTTATTATGGACTGAGATAAGCTTCAATGATTTATTCTAATAATTTAAATGGTTTGATTAACAATCTGAAATAAGAAAAAGTTTGGACAGCACTTCTTTATCAAAACTTGCTCTTATATATGTTGAATATTGAACAAAAGACATACTATACATTTAGTGTTTTTGTTTTTACTTTTTATTTACTAATACATTTCATTTGAAATTAGCTTGATAAATGTTTTGAAGTTTGTTTTATAACTTATTAATCCGAAGTTTATATTTATTTATTTTAGTATTTTTTATTTTGTGCTCTAAGGGTCATTTTCAATCTTGCTAAGTTTTGACAATTTCAGTTAGATTATTGAGGTTTTTGCCTTTCTAGTTCTATAGATATTTACCTTACCTTGTGGTTTTAATTTTTATGGTATGGGATACAAAGCATTCTGTTCAGAGCTGTAATTTCAATTTTTATTAGGATTACTTGTTATTATAATAAAGAAGTTATTTCCAATTTTAAAAGAAACTATATAACATGTTTTATGAAAAACCGTTTATTCTTGTCTTCCTGGACAAAACTTGTAGGGAACTGATCATCATTCAAATTAACTCCAATTTATTATTCAAATTTAATAAAGTTTAATTCCCTATGAATAAATTTTACTTTTATCAGCTTAAACTGATCGACCTTGTATAATATGATAGCACACTACGGGTGAGATAATGTTACAAGCATATTTAATTATTGCAAAACTGGAAGGAGGGAGTGGCTACTTCCTAATAACATGATTTAATAAAAATTAATTTCTTCCAATCTAAGGCATTTGTGATAAGTTCAGGTTATTAAAATCGCAGTGTTGAAAAATTAGTATATCTCATATTGCCATATTCTATACCAGAAATGCCTTTTCTTTTATTCTTAGTTATTACTTATTTTTCCTCTATGATTTTTTGTCAGAGTTTGGAGTTAAGAGTTTATTAACCAATAATTACAATTTGGTTCAACCAGATGGCAACATCTATCAGTCGGTGCCTTTAATAATCAGTAAATAATTTTTACATAGTTACATTTTTTTATAACAATTTCAATATAATATGATTCTAACATGGTATAATTATACATTATAGTTTAATGTTATAATAATATAAAACATAATGATAATGTAATATAATATATATTAAGTACTAAGTGGCCTAATAATCACTCATTCTTAATATTTTCTTATGTTCTCCCGCTTATCTTTTTTTCATATTAGTTTTTCTAAAAGCTCTCTATGAAAAAATAGAAATATCTTTAAATTTCTACATCTCAAGTAGTAATGTAAGAAAAAAAAAAAAAAAAAAAAAAAAAAAAAAAAAACCTTTACCTATACCCATGAAGGATCTTGTGTTCAGAACTTAGTAAGGAAGTACTGTTTCAAGACCGACAGTTTCACTAAGATGTGTTTGAGTCGAGATCATGTTCAACTCAAACACATCAGGTTTCCCTCTCCCTTCAATTGAGAATATTCACTTTTTAGAGGTTGGGTGTGTCCCTAAAGGGTAGATCTATGGCCGTACCCAGCACCTTGAGCATAGGAAGTCTATGCCATTTTAGCATAAACTTAATAAATTGACAGTATGCTAAATTAATACAATGGCCTAAGATTAAATTGTGTATACATTTTTTGGAACCATATTTTTCATTTTTTATCAGTATTTCATATATTTTATCTTTCCAATTTCTATTATAGCCTGAGAGAACTGGGACGCATGCTGTCCCTTTGGTAAGAAACAATGATTTCTGCGAACTTGTGAGAGAACGCAGAGCTCGTTCAGCCTCCACAGCCTGTCTTTTTCTCACTGCTTTGATTGTTATGAGCTGTGGCATAGTGACAGGATTATATTTGTATAGACAGTTTGTAAGAGTTCAAGTAAGTATTAGTTAATTTTTTCCTTATCCAAAGTTTGTATTTATATTTCACTAGTGTGTGATGTACTGAGAATTGAGTGTGCCATTGATAATTTAATTGTATGCTATCATTATTTTCTGTTATTATGTCTTCAAGAGTCTAAATGTTTATATATATAAATGATAGTTTTTAAAATTAAATATTTATAATAGAATTCCAATTATATATTTCTGATGTAAAAAAGTTTCACTCGTAAAACCTAATTTATTTAATAAAAGCACTAATTTATGAAACAAAAAGAAAATTGGATATTAAATCATAAAATTAATGAAGAAGGTTTATCTTTACTTTAAAAAGAAAAAAAAGGATGAATTGATTTAGTATTTGTGGAATATCCATCAAAAATAGTTAATTTATTTTTTATATAATTTTGTATTATTATAAAATTAAAACTAGACTATAAAAAAATACAAATTCTGATTAACAATTATTAGTTTCTGTTTTTTATTTTTAAAAAGTCTGTGATAACAATTAATCTTTGTTATTTCTAATTTTGTACTTCCATATTTACATCAGTTGAAGCGAACAAATAATTCCATATTTACACCAGTTGAAGCAAAGAAATAATTAGGAATTATTTGAGGTTATTCTGACCAACTCCTGGATCATTTATTTGAATTATCATAGGGTCAACCACCATTACATATTATTACTTAAAGTAATTTTTATTTATTTTTTTGGATTAACCTTATTTTAGTTAATTCTTCATCAAAGCTAATGATTGAGGTGTCATTTTAAAGATAATATCCTTTAGATAGGGAAACCAGACATATCCCCTGAAATTCCTGGAAAAAACAGTTATGAAGAAAATTAAACTTAATTTGTGCATAACACATGAATAACACAATTTATGATTGTGGGTTGATGGTTGACTGTAGTGAATAATGAAGAGAAGTATAGTTGGGCCCTAAAAAAAATAGAATAATAAAAATAATTAAAATTGAATCATTTATTAGCAAAAATTATTATGATGAAAGTTTTAACATAATTTTCCTTTCCTTTATTGATGACAATGACCTGTTTCTTTCTTTGGAATGCCTTATGGTTCATGTATGAAAATTTATAGTTTTATTAATTTTTTCTAAAGTGTTTTCTGTTGTTCATCTGCACTAGTGTTGATCTTAGATTGATGTGAGTAGTTTCTGGAAACCAACAGATTACTGACCTCTGCACTCTTTATCAGTTCCAATAATTGACTGGCTCTTTATTTCACTTCGTATATATACATATTGTCTATAACTGAATTTAACTTTTTCACTTTATTGAAGCCCTACTGAGTTGGTCTCCATTTGACTGTGGCTTACTTGTGACTGTACTGAGGCCATTAATTGAATTGTCCTAAACCATCATCACTAAATCAATGCCTTATTTGACTGTAATTTATAATTGGTATTTATTTAATCCGTGTATATTTATGGTAAATCATTTATCATACTTACAAAATTCACCAAGACTTAATGAATTTTATTCATCCAATCTCCTCATGGGGTTTCCTGTCTAATGCTGGCCAAACCCTATTTGAAAACCTGTATAAAGATATGGGACTCAATTCAAGTACTGTAAAAGAAATGTTGGTACCCAAATCGATCCATTTTTGGGAATTTAGAATCCAACTCGAGCTATCCCATAAATATGTATTTTTTTTAATATGAATGAAAACATGTTTATCAACATAAATAAGATACAAAATATACCTTACATCTTACAACACACATAAACAATAGAAAATTCTGTTTGGCTGTGGTATATTCTCCCAAAATGTACCATACCTTAAATTTACCGACAAAACTATATCTTAAATAGATAACTTCTACATTGTGTATATATTGTAAATTGTAAATAAATGATGGAGGGTTGGAGAAAAAACAACATATGAATTGATTAATATTTTTTCTGATTATTTTCCATTAATTTAAAAAAATCTCTTGGGTGCAGTACTATGTTGGGTAGTACTGTTTCTTGGTCAATGGTTGAGCAAGGAAGACGTTTGACCAAGATCACCCGGTTTTCCTTCCTTAATTAATTAAGAGTACCCACTTTATATAGGCTGGGTGTACCCCAGAAGTCTTCCAACCCAAGGGTTGATCCACAACCGATGAATCAGAATAAATAATTTATATACCATTACCTGGATTCAAACCTGTGACCTTGAGCTCTGGAAGTCAGTGCCCAATCCACTGAGCTACCCTGCTAATGTTAAAAATAAATATTAGATTAATTAATAAAATAAAATAAGTATTAAAAGTTCATACTACAACTATCAATAAATAACATTGTAACTATAAACACACATTAAATATTATATAGTTTAATAAATAAATAAAGTGTTATACTAATTATTCACATACTGACTAGTTGAGCCCTGTGCAATGTGGCTTGCTTTGTATAATTACTTAGAGCTTTCCAGTTGGTACATTTTGGTAAACTTAATATTTCTTCACGAGAAAAAGTTTGCCTACCAAAACATTATTCTCTGGTCTCGCTATACATAGGCAGCCCTCCAAGAAATGAATTGTGTTTTCTTTCTCTCCAGAGTTGCAATCCAGTCAGTTATGGTTGCTCTCATGTACTTACGACTCAACATTTAAATTGAACAACTCTGTTAAGACAGTTAGGACAGACATATCAGTGACATTTGAAATATCCAGCTTCATTTGAAAATATTTCTCAAGTTTCACTTACTGTACCAAATAACTTTTTACTTCTTGTAATAAGATATGGGACAAACGAAAATCAGGCATCTCCATAACTTTCAAAATATAATTAACATGTATTTTTAGCGTGTAAGCTTGGCAGAGCTTGTGAAAAGAACATTCCATAAGACATTTTAACAGTAGGACTAATTTTAAATCTGAATCATTGGCTTCATTCAATTTTATATAACTTAATTTATTTTCTAGTTTTGATTTAAAATGCAATTCGTCCTGCCGTGACCATCGCAATCTACTTATTTGGGGCCTTTACAATCCTTAATATTGTTTGCTTGACCGAAATCCATGACAATTTCAATAGGCATATGTTAAGTATAAATTTTAGGAACAACTTTATATTCTCTTAAATACTTTAAAATTAGGGCTTATATGCAGAAAATATCAATGACAGAGCTCTCCCTTCCCAAAATATATATGATCTCACCATTTGAATATATTTTTTTAAATAATTAATTTATAATTATTTTTTTTGTACAGATGGAAAGATTTCATCTTCGTTGTAATATTCCCTATGCTATGCAAAGGCATGGTGATGAAGACATTGAAAATTTCCAGAATGATATTCAAGCATTGGCAAGTATTTATTTTTCATTTTATATAACTATAATTTGTTTTTCTAATCAATTCTTATGTTTTTTCTTATCTTAATTTTTAGCAAAATGAATTGGATAAAGAGGAAAAATATTTCCATGAAGATTTTGAAATTGAAGATTGCTATGAGAAAATTACTGTTCCAGATTTTTCAGGGGGACGGAGAAGCAAATTTATTCATGACTTCAAAACGGCAAGTATCTATTAATTCTTGAAATAATTGAAATTAATTTGGCACTTGGAAATAAGTCAATTTAAAGTATGTAGGTGTTATGAAATAATGGTATTCTTTATTTATTTGTATTATGTTTTAAATCAGCTTTAGAGAATTGAGGTTGCTATTCAGTTTTGATTCATAAAATTGAACCAAATTATGTTAATATCATTGATGTTACACCATTTTGTGGTTGAAATTAATAATGAAGTAAAGTTGAGTGGGATGGTCAACAAGGATTGATAAGAAAATTAAACTAAGGTATAGAGATATGTGCTGATTAGAGAAAGGACTTAGTCTAACAGGTGGTCCATGAAAGCCTTAGGTTAGGTTTCAGTAACATATGTTTTGTTAAGACTTATTTAAAGAATTGTTTATATCTCCTTGAGATTTCGATGTTGAAAAATTATAAAAAATAATTCAACTACAAAGTTGCCTCAAAATGCATTTAAAAGCATCCCAATTTTCTGGGTGTTTCCTTTTTGAACTAAGAATTGGCTAGTTACAGTCAATAGGTCACTGATTTCAACTGAAAAATAATGGACACATGTCCCAGCGGTCGTTTCAATATTGTTTCAGTGGAAACAAACATAATTTACATATTTTCAAACAAAATTTATGTTTTTTACTCTTGCCTGGATTTGTTATGGATGGAACTGTTGGTAAAATTGCATTAAACCTATTTCATATACAGTTATAACTCATATTGCTTCTGATTAATTTATATTTCTAATTTCAAAAGATGTTAATCTGATATAAGAAAACTATATAAAATTCATAATATTAATTGCACTGGGTGTTATCGCCTTTTCTGTAGAAATATGTTTCATTAGTTTTAGAAATAATAACGATATCAATGTTACTGCATGTATACATATATATTTTTATTGATACCCTTCATATTGAATAATAACACGGTGCCCACCACCTAACACATAACCTATAAATGTACCTGCAGGTGAAAAAGAGTTGGAGATCGCTGTTCTAGAGGATATTGGACCAAGTTTGTTCAGTTATTATTATAGCAAAAATATTCGCTGTGAATTATATAGTTTAAATTAAATTGGCTATTTTATATTACAAATGATTTAGCTTGCTATTGTTTAAGACCTTTTTACATGGTAAAATATCTCGAATTATGTCCTGCGACCTCCCAAAAGCCTTTTAAGTTGACCTTTTGGACCCAAATGTGCTCATTGAAGAAACTGCTTGAGAAACTTAAGCGTGGGAAGGGTCCCTTAGTGTTCATATTTGAACTCATAGCTACCCCTAATTAATATCTATTCTTTTCATCTTAATATTTCCATCATACGATATTATCATTGTATTTGGTTTCTATATTGTTATTTGAATAATCCCACTAAAAATGAGGATTTAGAAATTACCTGCTAAACATTATTTAACCTTTGTTTAATTTGTTTTAGAATTATATATAAATAAGTTTCTTGAATATTATGTTACAGAATAAGACTGGAATAATTGACATTGATGGTCGTCGTTGCTTTGTCATGCCATTGAATCGTACTTTGGTTCTTCCTCCTGAAACTCTCATGGACTTAGTGAAAAAAATGAGGGATGGTAAGTTAAGATACAGTTTGATATGATATAATATGCAATTATAAACACAGGTTTATACCTTTATGAAAAATGAAATACTTCTAAATATAAATATCTTAATGCGGTAATATAATAAGCTAGATTGCTGCTTAAAAGGCTATAATACAGGATGGTGACTGACCTGGAAAAGTCAGAGACTTTTCAAAACTGGGAAAAGTCAGGGAATTTTTTTAGTATGTAAATATTTTTTCATATTGGAAGTATATATACAGATATCATTTGTAACGACCTTGAAAGGATAAAATTCATCGTTAGAAATAACACCACTGGTCGTTATATTGAAATTAAACGAGGGTAATGAATATAAAATTTAAGCAAAATGAACCAATACTATTTACTATTTGGAATATATACATCTATGGACATTTTTATTTTTTCATTTTATTTTTATAAAGTTATGAACTACTTAATGGTAATTCTGTCTATAGATAAACATCCATTAAAACATTTTTCAATCTTAGAATGTATCATCAACTTCTTGAAAAATTGTGTTTCACCATGTTGAATATGTAAGCGTCATGACAATTCTCATGAACTGTCGGCTAAATGTAATTCCATTTGTTGGTCAACTGAAAGAGAACACTGGCAGCTTCACAGCTAATTTTTTTAAAAAACAGTAGTGTATTGGGAGGAGAATTTTAGTATCCATCCTCACAAAATATTAGTTTGAGGTTCATATGAATTGATTTTAAATATTTTTAGTCTTTTCATGTAAAATCTGCAGAAATAAATAATTCTGATAGCGAAATATTGAGAAGAACTGATTTTGTTGTGGGTAGATCGTCGTTTTTTATATTTAAAAGAATCACCACATTCAGCATGCTGTCTGGAATGGATTCACTATTTTTTCAAATTGTTAAAAGACTTAGGTTCAATTCTTGAGTCAGGCTACTTATTGGATTCTTCTCTCTCCATTCGGCAATTATATGGAATTTTTCTACGAAGAAAAAACTTTTTTCTCTTTGATATTCTTATTACAGTACTAAACAGAAATATAAATTTAATGCTAATAGTGGGGAATAACAGTTAATATTTGCAAACGATATATACCTATATATTATTTAAATTTGATTTTGCATTATTAGGGGCTACGGTCGATGCAATTCATTGGCTGACAAGTACTCATTTGTTTGACCCATGCCACTCTTTAAAAGAGCATTTGCTAACCAGAAATGTCACAGTTGGTGTCGTACGGATATTTATTATGCTGTTAATATAAAGAAATTAAATTACTTATGAGAAACTACATTAATATTAGAATCTCCCCGTAGCTCACCTTATTTTATAATACGGAAAATCAGAGCTTTATGTGTCAAGTATCAATTTTTATCTCCTCTCAGTTAATGAAAATAAAATAAAGGTGGTAAAAATAAATTTAAAAAATTTTAGTTTTCTAAAATAAAAAATTCTAATCAAGCTTAAAAAATGCCTCCTCTAAAACATTTTTTTGTTATTTAAAATACATTTTTTTACTCAAATCGTATTGTAGTCAATTTTCTTTCATTTATAATAAATAAATTTAATTATACATTTTTAACATTTGTGACCCCAGTTATATTGGTCGGAGAAAATTATCATTAAGTAGGGAAAAGCCAGGGAATTTTACTTAAACTGTATGGTAGCCATCCAGCAATATTAAAGTCATGTAAACATGTGGCACTTCCGGTTAGCCGATTTTAAGGAACAAGTTGCCAGGACATCTAAAGGATATATCTATCTTAAATATGTAATATCAGTTTCGTACTACTTTTCGGTTTCGAGCTAGTGTTCTCAGACACACAGACCATTTTTTGGAACTTGGTTATTTGGACTCAGGGGACCTCAAAACGTGTATTTCCATTGAAAACTCAGATTAAAAAATCTTCGCAATCACAATACATTACATATATAGGTAAGTGAAAGTAAAAATGGTTAAATATAATGAGTGAAGAAAATTGATTGGTAACTAAAGCAGAAATAAGGGTTGGAAGCTATATGGAAATAACCGAAAGCGCCAGACCTTTGCCGATCCTCTGCCTTTACAAATTCCCAATACGCCTCTGCATAGGGCTTTCCTATTGTTAGTTTAACTTTTATATATCACTTATCCATAATTTTTAAAAGGTGCTCACATAAAATGTTGAGCATCTACTAATATATTTATTGTTTTTAATTGAACATTTTATATTGAATATATATTGTAAAAATTGAATATTTTATTTATTTTTTGAAACTAGGTCAGTAGGAGTATTTTCTTTTTGTACGATTTTGTTAATCTATAAACCTAATAATACACAATAATTAATTAATTTTTCAACCGGTGGCCGAGTAGGCTAATGTGTGTGCACAGCACCGAGCGTTGCTTGGCAACCTGATAACAGAAGTTATGGAAAAATATAATGAGTTCAAATCCTGGTACCCTTTGGGAATTTTAACTTTGGCAATTCCCCTGATCAAAAAAAAAAAAGCCGTGTAGCCTAGAAGACACGGAAGGGGAGAAAAAAAAAAAAAAAAAAAAAAAAAAGAATTTTTCACTTTGGCTTCCCTACATATGAAAATACCTATTTATTGTAATTTCGGTTCTGAAATTTGTGTGATGTGCGCACCGCATCAGATTTTTCCAAGTTGATGTTGACCAACTACTAGTTTCATATTCTTTGCCATATGTTATTCACTATTTTTGGTTGAAAGAACTTCTTAAAAATGCAGCTCTCAAGTCATAAAGATGTTTTGGATCATACATTTAGGACATTAAACTTTTTTAAATGGTGCCTAATGGCTGCTGCCTTTGCGCCTAGTTCTTTCTTTTTTTTTTTTTTGTGAAATCCCAATATTATCATGTCTTCCTGTAAGTAAAGTAACTTTGATTGGTTTATTATAAATAATAACTATTTCTCTTTGTTCGGACTTATGAAAAAATGCTACATATAACTTTTGAAAGGATTTGATTATTGAAAAAAGAAAAAAATAGAAAAATACTTCTCCAGGTCGAGAATGAATATCTGGAAATAATAGTCAGAAGGTATACGTACAATATATCAGAAAGCAGAGAATTAAAAAAACTATCTTATATAGTGGAGAGTGTCGAAAAAAACATAAATAATAATTTCTAAAAACTAACATCATTTAACGTAAATCATGTGTTTTAAAGGAAATTGAATGAAAATTTCTTACTAAATGTAATAATAATAAAAGGCTTAGCGAACCCGGAGATTCTATGACGACACCATTCGCTTATTACACACCTCCCTCCACCGTTTGCCGTCCAAATTCAGTCCCTTCAGATTGCCTTTAACACAATCTTCCCACCTTCGCTGCTTTGGTCTATCTCTCGGACGTTTACCAATCGGTACAGCAAATATCAACCTTTTAGGAATTCTTTCGTTACTAAGCCCAACTATTTTACAAACCCATGTTATTATCTGCGATGTAATCACCTCATTTATATTAACTGGATACGGTTCACGCAACTCGGCGTTGTGCAACCTTCTGAGCTCTCCAGTTAACTCATCTTTCTTCGGTCCGAATATTCTTTAAATACTTTATTTTCAAAAACCTTAAGACGTTGCTCATCTCTTAATGTTAGCGGCCACATTTCGCATCCATAAAGAACTGTAGGTAAGATAATGGTTTTATAGATTCTCCTCTTTAAGATGCGCGAGCTAAGTAATTTTGTTGCAGAAAAATAACAAGCATTTCCCACCTTCAGCCTAACCTTAATCTTCTCTTCAATTTTGTTTTTTCTAGTTATCTTAGATCCTAGATACTTAAACTTCTCTACCTGTTCAAACATGTTATCTTGTATATCAATATCACCAGCATTATCACCATTTTTGCAGCTAACCATATATTTTGTCTTATCCGTGTTTATTTCGAGCCCTAGTTATTTATCAGCTTTGATTAACGTTGTCGTGTTTAGTTTTATAGTTTCTGTGTCTTCGCTTAATAGGACCAGATCATCTCCATACGGGTGTTGTTCCACCTAGATCCAACCTTTTTTTGGTACGCATCACCTCCCTAATGGCATGTTCTAATGCTAAATTGAATAGGACAGGTGAAAGGGAATCACCCTGTTTCAAACCCGAATGAACCGAACTGAACAAACTTTCAATAAATAAACAGGCTTTCAATAAAATAGTTTTACCACTATTTAGCCTTTTTATGACCGCAACCCCGGAGCATCTCCTTCCTTTATAATGCAACGGTCAACTATTAAATATTCAATATGAACAAACTTTCAGATAAATTATTCCTGATTCTAACTTTTAAGCTCATCCTGACTAGATTTACTAATTTTTTGGAATCCGCTGCTCAATTAGAATATTAATACAGTTTCTGGCGGTCAATAGAATCGTAAGCCTTTTTACTAAATGTAATAAACTTTTTAAAAAAATTTCTAAGTTTGAAAAAGAATTTAAAATCCATGGTCTCATGGCAATGACATTGTTTAAGATACTATTTCATTGTACTTGTGTGAAAGAAGAAGTGAAATATAAAAATATTTCATGGATATGTTTATAACCTTAAATATATTTACTGTAGTTTTATAACTCTAGATCTGACATTATATTTAAATAATTAGGTATCTATCATCTGTTTATTCCAAAAAATCATCATGTAACCTTTTAGAAAATTAAATTAGTGAATAATTTGATGAATTTTCCCATTGTGATATTCCAACAGTATTCACTTCCAATTAGTGTAACAACTTTTGACCTATCTATGACAGACTATGCAAATCTCTTAATTCCATTTTAGTAAACTTTTGCAATGGAAAATAACAGTTTAATAACTAATAGTCATATTATCCATAATTAACAGATCGTACAATCCATAATCAGCCGATGGTATAATAAATAGGACTTTTGTTATTTTTATGGTATTTATGATTTGTTAGCTGTAAACTTTTAGGTTTAGCTCGGTTAAAAATGCAATTCAAAAATTTTGTAATAGTCCAACATGGCCAGAAAATAATTTCTATTCAAAGTTGAGTGGTAAGTGAAAGTTGTTTGTTGCGCACACCAGATTTTTTCTACAGTTAACAATGATTGTCCCCTGTAATTATGATTCAGAACTATATCTTATTCAAGATAAATTTATGTATGTTATCTTTCAATTTTAGGCTATTATGAGGTTGATACTGGTGTTCTTCGGGAAACAATGCAGGTGGTTACCCCTGCAATTGAAGACAGAGCCAGCTTGGGAGTGCATATTGAGCAAGAATGTTTTGGTTATCCGATTTATAAACTAGAAAAAATAGTTAGTGGAGGTATAGTTAATTAATTAGTTTTTTATTTATTTTTTAAAATTTTGTTTCCTTATTATTAACTAATATTTGTTTTACAGTTTATAAGAGGAGTGCTGAACCAGAAGTGAAATTCATGGAATTTGCTGGGAAAAACACCCACGAACTACATATTATGAATTATAATGATTTGCAAGAACATGAAGTTCCTCTGCCGATAGCAATGGCATAAACAGCAAAACTTCATGACCCATTTACAATATGTCGTTAGGTATAGTTATTTGGTAAATATTTCTTTAAATATTATCCATAGTTGTTAATCTTAAACTGTCATTTTGCACAGTCTGTTGTTTCTGTGTATTATCTACTATTCAATGTAATTTTAGATTTTAAATGTAATAGTTTCTAACTTAAAATATTTAAAGCACATATCTACTGTTAACTTTATTAGTTGAAATAAAAAAAGATATTTTATCTATTTAACAAGACCTACCCTGTTCTCCACTCCAGTATATTTCTTTGAATTTATTGTTCATTAAAATACTTTTGTAGTAATGAGGAGCAATACATTTTACATATCAATGTTGTGGGTAATACTCAAGAAATTTTTATTTAGTGTAAGTTGTTAAAAGCATTCCCATTATACAGTTTAATCTTTTATTTCCTGAATTTTAAACTTTACAACGAATGTTTTAGTTACAATATATAAAAAAATATTTATATTGTTGTTAATTAATGTTTTGACTGCTTAAAGTATTTAATAAATTTAAGGATTAACAAAATAAGATTTCTGATTTGTATAACTGTAATTGCAGAAAATGTTTTATTAATAACATGAGCAATAAGGTGACCAGATGTCCCGCTTTTTAACAATTTGTCCTGCAACAATTTTGATAGAATGCAGGACAAGCTAGGGAACAGAAAGAGAATATATGGTTTTCTACGGCCATGTAGCTATTTCGCTAGGATATGTTGAATTTCAACTATCATGAATAATTGTTATATTCTGGTTATTGAGAACTGCTTAGAAAAGGTTAATATTGTTGATAAGTTGTTAAAATTCAACCACCATTTTATGAACTTAATGATAATAAACAACCCAAAAATGAGGTATCATTATTAATAAAATATTCTGATCAGGAAAAGGTTAAATCTTAGGCATCAGCAAATTAACTTCATTTACTGAAATGTTACCTTTAATAAGTTTTTAGCATTTTATAAAAGAGCTGCTTGATTGTATACAAATTATTGGCACAAAAAATTTGTCTTAAAAAATGTATTATTACTGAAGTCACAAATTAGACGTCAAATATATCATCAAATTATTCGCTCTAAAAAATAAGCCTTCTAAATTTAGTTCTAAACTAAATTATAAACCTTATTTCAGCTGAATACTACGTCACCTGATTAACATTTGCACCAGATTATCATTTTTTATTTTATTTTTTGTTCACTCCTTCTTCTCTTTAAATGCTATGTGGGGATTTCCTGACCCAGAGGATAGGGGGATTAGTGCTTCAGAATTATAAGTCCTCCGCAACCGGGACATGAACTTGTAATTATTTTATATCTTATAAACTTCGGTTTATCAATCTTCTGGTTTCTGGGCAACGTGTGTTTTGCACATGCGTTAGTCCACTCGGCCATCCTGCTCCAGATTATCATTATGTAAAATCAATTATTGTTACAAAAAAATTGAACTATTCTTTAGATTTAATGAATCAAATGTATATATTTAAAAAAAAAAAAATCAAAAATTCCCCTCTCCAATCAATGGTGTCCCGCTTTACCAATGTTAAAATTTGGTCACCTTACTCATGAGTTATGTTTATCAGTTGAATGTTTGTTGATCTATATCTTATGATATAATTAGAAAATGATAACAATTTAAACCAAGTCTCATCGAATCTAAATTAGGTTTAGTTAATTAAAACCAGAGGTGTATGACATGATTAAAAGAAGAGCACACCTTTGTTTTTTTATTTAATGAGTAAAGTTATGAAGTAATTAGTCCATTACTTCTTATAAACCTAAATTACACATTTGTGGATGTTAATTATTTTTATCCCTTGATAAGATTTATATAACACTTTTTTTATTTAAGTGAAGGTGTAATTATTTAATTAATAAAGATGTTTGACAGAAGCATTATCAATTACTTATTAACTTACCAAAAATGACTCCTTTAACTTTATCCTACTTGTTAGGGCTATAACATTTTTGTATAGCATAGGTAATATCTTCCAATGATAAGAATGTTAGCCCACATTGCGGAATGGGATTAAGTATGATATTTACGACTATAAAAACCTCAATTGATTATGTTTTAATTCAACAAAACCAAGTGGAAACAATAAGATATGTACAGAGATATATGGTTGGCTCCTGTTTATGTTAGTGTAAATTGTTTTCCAGTTCTACTTGATATAATTTATAATCAAAATATCAGAAGAAAAAAAAGAATGTTTACAAATCCTTGAGTGAACAAATAGATTTTGTTTCCGTTATTTTGATTATAAGATTGGAATAGAGCTCATAAACTTTTTTTTCCTTCTGGAAATGTAAAATAGGCCATTTTTACATTCACTTACCTATATATGTAAAATATATCAATGGTGAGTATTGCGATCATGAAAATTTTTGAATCTCTGTGTTTATATATATATGAACAGCCAAGCTAAAAACGAAAAGGAGTATGGAATTAAGGTTTTGATAAGCCTGAGATGTTACAGCAGTATTTTCGTTATAATAGACAAACCAGAAGTGGTACTTCGTTTAACACATTTATTTCACTCGATTTAACACATTTTTATGATTTTCTCAAAAACAGCTCCAACAATTTTGATTAAATTCAGTATATCAGTGTATTATTAAACATTTTTATTAATATTATTATTATTATTATTAATGTAAGTTTTATTCTCATTGATGTTCTCTGACAGGGCTTAAATGACTAATTTTCAATATTAGCTTCCTATAAAGTACCTTTAATCGTTTTTCATTTGACATAATTACTCATATCACATTAACTTTGACGTAAAAAATAGTTAAATATAAAATATGAGAGAATTAGATAACTAAAGGAGAAACAAGAGATTTTAACGGATAATAGTTGTAATTGAGGAACCAAAGGAATAAGAGTGCACTCGAAAGAATAGAACAGGCTTTCATACGTAACATGAGCTTAATATAATACAGTCTCCGAAAATATTTTATTCATATACAAATACGGTTTTCAAAAATGCTATCTTTGTTATTATTTAATATTTAATTGTATAGGTTACAGCGATATAAAAATTAAAATTTGTATATATAAGGGTAATTAAACAAATAAAAATACCCACAAAGAAATGTAAATAAATTGTGTCTATAATTTTTACTTTCAGCTTCAATTTTTCATACAACAATGTTTCATCTGTGATTCCTTGTTTTCAAGATATATGAGAAAATCTGGAAAAGTGACCTTTATGGCGCCCCCTTCTTCCCACCATGAAGCAGATAGAGAAGGAGTAAGGGTTTTCAATATGTTTACCTCGAACAAATTCCTGAAGTCAAATGCTTGTCCATCCTCTATGCACTCTACAAGCACCTTCTTGGCATTTTTTTTGTTGACTGGACTATTTATATTTAATTACTATCAATATATTGTGGAAAATAAAAGTTTAATAATATAAAATCTGGTACGGATTCAAATAATTTAATCTGTACATGTTTCAAAGAAGACTGTAATTAATACTAAAATAAAATGTGTTGGATTGAATTATCTAACGTTAAAAATAGTTAAGTTATATGATCACAGATGGACTGTAGAAGATCCTCAAATTTGATAGAGAAATGGTAACATTCACAAATCCAATATCTAAAAAAAAAAAGGAAAAAACAGATTAAAACATAAATTAGTTAGAAATTATTTAAAATTCAAATGACAACTTAATGTTTTAGGCCAATACTAATATTTTCTCTTATAAAATGGGCTAATAATAGAATAATGGTGATTTGTATCAGACATGCAATCAATCACTCTCCATTCATATAAATAGTCTAAATTTAATCTATTTCAAATTATAAACTCTGGGGCTCCATTCAATATTCAGAATACACTTAACTTAAATAAGGTAATAAATATGAAGACTTTTAGTGAAAAATAATTTAGTATATAAATTTTGTACTTTCATCGACATATATAGAACAAGTGTAGTGTGGTCAGGTGTGCTATGTTCCCAAAAAACTTGACTTGGATTTTCAATGCCAGAAAACCATTTGCATCAAGAGGAATACTTAATTTAGAATTAAACCTTTCCGAAAGCTTCTATACAAATTGAAAATTATCTTCATGTAATTTAACAATAATGTAATTTGATTTTTTTTTAAGTTTTATTTAAACCTGATTATTATTTAAAAAATATATACACTATAACTAGGGAAGCAATAAAGCTTCATGAAACAAAAGGAACTCTAAGGATAACCTAATGAATTGTAAGTTTAAATACCATAAACATTTTTTAAAAGTCATAAAAATATTACAATTATTTAAAAACTGATTAATAGACTCATATTATATACTTAAGTGGTCTCTTTGAAATATCTTTAAGTTGTTTTGAAATAAATCTTTTAGCAGCAAAGAATGAATTATTTAATAAATATATATAATGAATAAATGCACAAGTTCAGGATTTTAAGACTAGTGAAGTTTAAATATAAAAATAAATTTGAAAAGGTTCCTGGAAGAAAATTAAGGTGTGTAGAAAATATTACTTACTAGTTGAGGAATTATTTTTTGAACGATATCTAATGTTACTGTCTTTGAATCTTCTGCATAAGCTTGCTTGCCAGATCTCAATGCACATTCCAAAACCACCATATTTACAATCTTAGTGAGTGATGCTAAGGCTTTAGGTTGAATCTTCGTCTTTTCCTTTTTAAAGTGTAATGAGCAAATCTTTTTCATAGATACCTATATAAAAAGGACGTTGTAAGCTTTTGCTCTATATTTTTTACAGTGTTTAATTGCATTTTGTATACAAAATAATATAATAAATAAATAGTATGAAAAAAAAATATCAGGAATTTCAGTTAAAATAATATTTATTGGGTTAGGCTAACCCAATAAATAATATGATGAATGAAATTCCCAACAATTTTGTTTCATCCTCACAATTGGTCAGTCAACTATTCTCCCATATCTATTATAAATAAATGTAGTTCATTGTCAGAAAATATTAAAAAGACCCTACAACTATTGTATATAGAATAAACAACGACTCAACAAGACATTTTTTAATAAAATATTTTACTATATTGAAGCTGACAGTTTGATGATCCATTTTTTGTGTGACATTGAATTATAAAAAAATCAAAATTAAATCAAGGTAAATTATGGCCAGTTAAAACAAAACTTTCAAATTTGTAGAACATTCCTGAGCAAACGTTTGTCTAAAGGACAGGCGATAGTACTATCGATATATCGATAGTTTGAAACTAAGGAAAAATGTACTAGGACTATCGCTAGTTCGTTTCCTTAGACATAAATCTTTTAAATTTTTATATACTTTAAGAAATAATTTTTATAACACATCTTCATATTTCCAATCATTTATTTATATACAAGATATGGTGATGATATAACAATTTAAAAGTGAAATGTTCGATAATGAAAAATTGTTCCTAAATGTCATATTAAGAAAATAAATGGATAGAAGTGTGAAGCCGTGTTATTAAAACTATTCCTATGAATAAATACACCTGTAGTTGTGTCGATGAAAAAAAATGTTACCTCCAGTTCATTTATTTTTCATTAAAAGAAATAATACCTACAATGAACTCCTGTAATTTAAACTTCATTATCAAATGAAATTTAGAAAATTACAATCTTGGAAATTGAAAGATGTACACACTTGTCTTCTTTTATTTGCTAACTATTTCGAATAATACTATACATCATGGCACAGACGGATCTACGGGGGAGGGGCTTTCTTGCTGAATGAAGCTCCCTCACCCTCGAAAATGGTAAAATATAACCAGTTTTTATAGAAAAAAATATTAAAAACTATCTCTTAAAATATTATTAAAGGAAGGAGATGGTCCGGGGTGGCGGTCACAAATAGGCTAAATAGTGGTAAAACTATTTTATTGAAAGCCGACGTTTCGACCCAACTTTGCAGGCCTTCTTCAGGGAGGTTCAGTTCTAAGTTAAAATATTATTGTTTGTGTAATTACATTTAATGGGACTTCAAAAGAACCATTTAAATACCATTTCATATAGACAATTATATTTCTATCTTTTTTTTCAAATTAATTATCGTTATATAAATGAAAAAAGCAATTTAACGTGAATAACCGAAGAATACAGCGAAATAAATCGCCCTTCAGTCTGTGGCGGGAGGTTGCTAAGCTATCGATGTTAACAATAGTTTTTCATTGTTAATATCAAACCATCTATAGTGGAAAACTATTGTCTATCGCTCATCCCTAAGTTCAATGATATGAATATGAACGTACGCTCAAGATGGTTTTAGCAATTTAATAATCTTCCATACAATAAATGAATTCCGAAAAAAATTAAACTAATTTATGACTACTATTTCGGACCATTTCCTTCCTCAATCTTATACAACGGCCAACCGTTGAGAAAACTCAATTGAGCTCATTTTTTTTCTTTGATACTTTAATTAGTTGTTAGAAATTTAAATTCTCAAATAAAACAGATTTGTCTAGCTGTACAAGAATTCTCGCATAAAATATTTATCATTTTACTCTCTAATACATTCAAAGTATAAGCATGTAGTAGAGAAATATGTTTATTATAATGAACAATATAATATTTTAAAGAAAGTGTACACTGCACAGGACACACAATTGGCCTAGCTATGTGCATAAGTACCTATTAATAGCTGTGTTAGAAGAACAGTTTATCTAATAAGAAATTAGCTTGTCCTACTGGAAAATATCGTTTATATTTAACATAAAGCAGTAGGATTATAATATAAGCAATAAGAAGCTCTCCGTCAACTAACAGTAAAACGATGTTGTACTCGTCGAGACTTATTGGTACGGCGCAAAAGAATAGATTCTTTGGTTTGTAATTCATTCCCTTTTTAGAAGTGCAGTAAAGAAGAAAGACTTGTATACAACTCTATCTCTGCTTTGATAACGTTAACAACGGAAGAACAACTAAAACAAGTTGATTTTTATAAAAATCTGTATTACTATTTTTATTAATAGATTTTTAGTTTGTCGTAGACCATTCCATAGAAAAAGTCAAATTTTCGCCTCAAACTGTTTTTGAACCTTATACTTGCTGATTCTTCAAGAGAAAATACTTGTAGGAAATACCCACTTTAGAAAACTTCTCATATTACCCTCATTACAGGAAATAATGATTTTCTAAACCAATAACTAATAATAAAACATAAAACCCCTCTCTCCTGGCTGTCCCACTGCATGATTTTTCGACTTCAACAGCTTTAGTGAGATTTTTACTAATGTAATCACGTTAAATGAAAATATATATTCTATTAAAATATGCTCAGGTTTTACTTCTGCAGGTTCATTTTTTTAAAACACCCTCTGATTAAAAATTGCAGCACACTAAATGTGTGATATGGGTTTAACCTTTTTACTCTTTCGTTTTTCCAATCCTTTTTCTTGTAAAACGTTAACAAAAAAAAAAAAAAAAATCGTTATGCTTCCGGCTGTGTGGCAAGAGTGCTTTATATCTTCAAACAAAGCTGATTTATCTCGTTCAGTGAAACGTAAGTCCTGTCGAATGGTCAATTTTATTGAAAATGGTAATGGAAAAATGCAGTTACGTTGTTTATTTTTAGCTGAAAATGTTCTATAAATGTGTTTTATAGTCGTTTTATGAATTTGAGTGAAAATTGGGATTCATCACATCGTCAATAAATTCACATTTTATTGACGATGTGATTCACACGGCAATTTATTTCATGTTATAGGTGCTCAAATTTTTTCTAATTCTCAAATAGTGGACGCCAGTCCAGGTCGAACGACATCTCCGAGCGTATGTCCAGGCTGCCTCGCCGTAAGGCAAGACTTGGTCCAAAGGTCTCGGTCTATGGATCTTCGCAGCTTCACTTCCTGGGATAGATTTTACTAAAGCTTAAGGTGTCTGTGATTTTTCAAGTGCAAAAAGACGTGGGGGATTATATTTTATTCAGGAACTCGGTCAAAGCACGTCAACTTACCTCCAAAACTCGTTTATGGAGGAAGGGATTTGCTATGAGGACAGAAAATAATGGATAACTAGTGTTACTTAATGGATAAAGTTAACCACCAAACTGGGTTGTTCAATAGCCATCCTGAACAATAATAATTGAAATTTTACGAAAACAGGAAACTGATCTCGCGAGGAAGGTTGGCGATTTTAATCATCGCTTCTTTTAGCAAAGTGAGTACGTTTGCGACCCCCTTGACGGGAATTTATTTAGTTTGAGATTCCTTCTGTGATCTATTTACTTGAAAACATATGCCTACATTAAAATAAAACCCGATAGTAACAAAGTATTTAATTTTTTTAAAATTTAAATTGATTATTCTCTTCCCCTTTTAATACAATCGACTACTACTAATATTTAATATCTTTAAAATGTAATCTGTTAAAAACATTTTAACAAGAAATTATCTTAAGAAAGACATCACCTTTCTTCTGAAATTATGGAGAGATTAATTTTAAGTTGTTTTTGATGAAAATAAATGGTGAAATGTTTTTATATATAAAATTTCAAAAATAAATTTGCCCCATTAACCTAAACATGAAGATTTATCCCTTGACATTGTGTGGTTTATTTTACTATTTTAAAAAACAAAACAAATAACTCAAGAATTACTTTAGACCGATTAATAAATATTTTGAGCATGGAGGAACATTCTTTCATAATGTTCTTTCATAATTTTTTGATAAAGTGATAACAAACTTCTTTGATAACGTGCACAATCGAATTAAAAATCAAGTTCTAGACATAGATCGATAGTAAAACACTTTCTCACAGTTTCTGAGTTTGAGAATGAAGATGTTTAGATGGCGGCTATTCTAGTGAATTTGGTGTTTGAGTAGAAGTTATTGATTGGATTAATTACTTTCGATTTCTCTATTATATTTGTATGATACGTCAAATACATATGTACATTATTTTATCCTAATTCTGACAGGCGAGTTATTAAAGAAGATATTTGATGTGGTCGGTATCTCCTTTAATTGTTTATTGATCTCTTAATGATATTTGTGTAATTTGTGCCCATTATGCATTTTACATATGTTGACAACAGTAAGATAAACGCTTTGAGAAAAAATAATTTATTTTTAGTTTGCTTTTGATAGTGTTATGAACTTTTTGATTTTTTTCCCCCTTGTATTCTTACTTTTGTCTTCTACTAATGCCATGTTAATTTTTCTATGGTAATATATAATTTTTAAAGAATTAATTGAATTAATATTTATGTGAAATCTTAATGTGCTTCAACATATTTGACAATATAAATTATGCTGTTGAAGGCAGACCATTCTGATGATCATTGATCGATCCTTAAATAGCCATAGTATTTAGTTTTCAGTGTAATATACTTCTTGACATGTCATTGTATTGATGTTGTTTTAAAAAGAATTACGCTGTCATTGCTGAGTTTACTATTTAATATGGTGTGAAAATTGTAACTTGAACACATTAAAAATTACATTTACTGGATTTAATTTACTAATTAATCTAGTTTTAGAAGAAAACAGAATGTTAAACTCAATCATTGTTATTTTTAATGTATATTAAGTGAATGTAAATACCTGATTGTAACTGATTATGATATTTGTAATTTCATTCAATAAATGGCTTACTAAAAATATCTATTATTCTTCCGAAACTTAATCAAGGCTATATGATTTGATAGTTTGATAAATTATCCGTTGCCTATTGACACCTTAGTTAAAATGTTCATACCTGATGTTGACTGTGTATGATTGTGGTTGCATCCTTGTTGCAGACTCTCTGATTTAAATTGGATTTGTTTAATCTTAAGGTAAGATAGTTATAAGTATTAGATTAGTCATTGACAGGTAGTGTATTGAAGTTGGTAAAAGGTGTTTAATTGACACAAACTCCTACATTTATTTACATTATAACTAGATATTATGTGGTTGTATGGAATAGTGTTTAATATATCAAGATTTTAGTTATAATTTAGAAGTTAGTCCTGAAAATTTTATTTTATTGTCATGATAACTGTTTAGTTTAATAAAGTGTTTTAGAATGGCTCCTAGACAACCATTAGTAGTGGAACAGAACTTAATACAAAGGAAAAGGAACCCTATAACAGGATATAGAATTCCCGATCTTAATAAAACTGGAGAAGTTGTGAGTGATGTAACCAAAAAGAAGTGGAAACTTGGCAAGTCAATTGGTGTTGGTGCGTTTGGAGATATATATTTGGGTAAGAAATGAATGCTATCATAATTTTTTGAATCGCTTTTCTGTTTTTCTATTTCTAAAGAACTTACTACTGTAATCTTCTTCGATCTTATTTTTCAAGATATTTTTACATTCTCTATCTTAAGGTACTGTTTTGCTGGTACTGCCCACAGCAGCAACTGCTAGCGTTTGAGCACTGCTTTAGTGGAACAGAAAGCAACTTATTTTGTTGGCACTATTCGGCAGTTTAGGTATGATGTCATATCTATACTGCTCCTTTCAGACCGCTTCCGAAGCAGTGAAGCTGTTGACAGTACAGTGGTTATAGGTTATGTTATCGTAAGAGCATTGTCTTGATGATAACAGTCGCCTTGATACGTTTCATTTTCTGTTGTTTTTTTTTACATTAAGTCTGGCAAAATTAAATAATATAATGTTTAAAATTTAAACAAAGCTATAGTAAATCATTTTTTAAGGTTGAAGTAATAAGATTATTTATTTATTTATAACACCAATAATTTTACAGAAAAATTCTAATTTACCAAAATCCAAACGAAATTAGATAAATTACATAATCCAAAAAATTACATAAAAAAAATTTAATGTCAGGTAAATACTAAAATCCACACATTGAAAAATCGATTTGTATGTTTTAATTGAAGTGCTGATTTACTGATTACGTAAAAAAAAAATGGTAAAATATCCTCTACTGTGATTTTTATTCATTACAAATATATGATATTTATTACTAACCAATTATGTAATAATTACAGTTACTTATCAAACTAATAATTATTAATAAATTTAAAATGTGAGATAAATCCTCAGTTCTTAAAACGATGTTTAATCATCTTATTAATACCATGAATGCTTCTGTTTTATATTCATAATATTAATAGGAACAATCATTTTGTAGAAGGTGGGAATTAATATGTGGATAATTGTAAATGTTTTATAGTACATAATCTAACCTTGTTATTCAACTTCAGTTACCAGAAAAAATCGTATGTATTAATTAAATAAGATCAAAACTCTGCCATCAAATCTATTTCTATCATTCCGAAACAAATAAAAACCATTAAATTTAAGGCTAACATTTTTATTTAAAATTATATCAAACTAGGATGCTAATTTGAGAAGATATAGCCGCAACGGTGAACAGTTCCAGCGAAATAGGCAAGCATTAGCGGTTGGCAGTATGGAATAGCGGTCGTTGCCATGGGCATTATCAGCGAAATAGTACCTTAAGGCTCAGTTACGGTCAATTGGCTCTTGAGTTCTATTGCTACCTGGTGAGAATCTGCCTCAGCACATACTTCCTACTTAAACTTGTACGATTTGGTCTCACCTGGAGTAAGTAAAAGCCCTTATGCAGATTTTCTACAGACAGGGAAAACTAGGAAATGTAATAGAATTTCATTGTTTTTGAGAAATCAGGGAATTACTTCTGTCTCTAAAGACTAATTAACTCTGGGTAAGACTGATTGCTATGAGTCCTATTAAGAAGGGAAGGGTGTGCTGAGTTTGACAAGGAAGGATCTGTGTTGTTTTATTGTTCCAATTACAACCAAACATCTAATTTCGGGCTGTTGTTGAGCTTTTTACTTGTATAAATAATTTATGAAGTTACAAAACATTGGAAACAACACATTTTTTAAAGCTATAATAGAGGTGATCAGGCTCTTACTTAATAATTTCAATATGGTGTACAACAAGTTCTCTACAAGTTCTCTGTGAAGATGAACTTGCTCAAATAGGGATATTTAAAATGAGGAAAAAAGAAGAAAAGTCTAGGGTGACGGTCATAAAAAAAACTTAAAATTGTTTGATAATATAGAAAATATAGAAACTTCTGACATTTTTTAGGGGGCTGTTTGGTCATGTTTAATTTTATATTTTTAGCCAACATTTAATTTAAGCCAAAATTTAATTTAATTTTATTAAAATCAATGTCCACAAGGATATTTAATTTTTTTTTTTAGTAAAGTATGATGCTTGACTTAAATAAAACTATTTGTTTCTATATTTTATTCGCCCATTTCTTGTTTTATACTCATTAAAGTTGATTGGATACTTAATTTATTCATATTAAGGAACAAATATAGGTATGAATCAACCTTCTTTAAGTGAGTTGAACTTTGTCGTTAACAACAATTTTGGGAACCTCAATGTATTTTGTTTGTTTGGCTCAGTAATTAATTTAAAGCTTGTGTGTAATATTAACATTCATTGATTTAATTATTTATGTAATTAAGTATTCTTTTTAAAGATTATGTTATTGAATTTAATTTTAAATGTTTCAGCCTCGGATGACATCACTAAACCAGTAGGATCTGAAGCAAAATATGTTATAAAAATGGTAATTTTTATGCTGTTATAAATTTGATGAAAATATAATATCATTATCCATAGATATGATCAATAAGTTGCTAAGAAGTGTTGTCAATAGTTGTGGGAATGTTGATGAAGTAGTCCATTATATCAGTATTTATCCTTTTTTAATTTTATATCATATGGTTGTTTTGTGTTTGATGGAGGCCTACAACTTCTTTAAGTAGCAAACATTAAAGAAATTTTGCGATTTCTGTTTTCTCTCTTGGCTACTCTTCCTACCGATTTATCATTGTTTTCATATTTAGTTTATTTATGTTTTTCTAAATTTTTAGATTATAAAATTAGCCTTGTCGGTTTGTATCTAATTTGGTTAACAGTAATATTTTTTTTTGCTGCTGTCTCTGTCAGGAAAATGTATTTTATGAAGGTAGAAAACTGCTTACATCCATAAAACCAGTCTCACCTTTTTTATTTGTATGAATTATAGTTCTAATTAAATTCTCTAGAACCATCAATATTGATTTTTACTTCCTCTTCTTGGCATTGGCAAAGCTATAGTGATGTTATTCTTCTTCTTTTTCTTCACCCATTTGCCTTTCAGCGTGGGGGTGCTTCAAGTCATCGACCCCATCCATTTCTGTCGCTGGCAAGGTTTTTCTTTAGAGACTGTCCATATCCAACGACATTTGCAGAAATTCTTTGAATTGTTTGTACTGCACTATGAGTGCTTAGTCCAGCAGAAGAGGCTCTGTTACGTCGGGACAACTGGTTGCCAGTTATATTCCTGTCATTGAGTCTTCTCAGGAGAGCTGATCCTGAGGTGTGTACTGAACGTGACTTACTGTCAGTTTATATTTGTAGTGTACTATTCTGCTGTGTGACAATGTGCTGTGTACTAAAACTCAGGAGACCGGATTATCGTTAATCTCTACTAGTAGAGCATATCTACTAGCCCTTACGGGAGTGATGAGTTATAAGAAACGTAACTCCCTAGTTTATTAAGTAATATAAGATCCCAATGAATAAAAACAATATTTTCATTATAAATGAAAATTAGCATTGGATAAATAATGTTTATTATAAATAAATAGTAACTCATTTAATTTTTTTTTTGTTTCAGGAGCCACATAGAAATGGACCATTGTTTGTTGAGATGAACTTCTATCTACGGGCTGCTACCGAAGCAATAAGTAAGTTACATTTGAGAAATGCCAGTGATAATAGATTGGGTTATATTTCTATTTCTTAAAACTTGATTGATTAAGCAATCATGCATAAAAGTTTAAATAGGATTTGAAGAAAAAGCTTTTTAATGTTAAGAATTATGTGTTCTATAATTTTCTTCTTATTTTACGTGTTCTATTCTTTTCGTTTTGTTCCTTTCACTGACAAGTCTTTCATTTCTTTAATCACTGTTTGGAGAGTTGGACGTTAGAACCTAGTTTAATCAACTTCCATAACATACTTGACAGCAATCCAAGAGGACCAGCTTCTAACTTTAACTTCTACTATTTAATATGTTATATTTTGAGTTGTCTCCCTCAAAATTAGTATTTTTTTTTGCACAGCAAAGGTAGCATAGTGATAGTAATTATATCTTAACATTTTTTAATATTGGGTTTTCCTTGTGATTGATTACTTTTTTATTATATTAATTTGGTTTATGAAATATTATTAAAATTCAGTAGATTTTATTATTGTTAAACATTCCAGGGTTCATGAAGTTACAATTGGTTCAGTAGTTTTCAAGGTTTAGCAGTTACAAATGAATTGCTTCCTGTTTCCTCTTGATTGTATTTGTAGGATGACCAATTTTTGTTATTTTGGTTGCATATCTAACTACAGGAGCATGTGATTCTGCCAACAAATTTAAAATTAAACATTATTGAGTACATACACTCTCTGAACACAAACTCAGTTGAAAAGATTTTTGTTTTTATTTTTTATTATATTTGGACTTATGGAGGACTTTAATAGCTTGAAACTTTCTTTAGTAAACACTGACTATTTGGCAAATAAATGTGTGCAAAACAATCCTGTGGTAGTTCCAAACTGAATATGGGCTGTCCTTTTATGTTACAATGTGATTTTAACAAATAAGACTCTTAATGTCTTAATGAGGTATTTCTTTATCTTTTCTTACACTGTTTTTTTTTTTTCCAATTCATTTAATAACATTTAGTGTTTGTGGGTAGGTATATACTATAGAACTGGACAATGACAAATGCAATATTTTTTGCTTCCTCACTACAAGAGGTAGTGAAACTTTGTGTTCATGCAGGAGGTAAAAAAAAGTTTGTGCTCAAATTCAAAAATTTCCCATCGCATTTTCATCAAGGATCAAATTTGGTTCGGTGCCTGTCTATAGTCAAATTGATGTGATGACCTACTACCATTTATTCGATTTTCAGGGATTGTGCGGGATGGTGTCTCATATCAATTTCATCAAATTCTATCCAACACTTCCGCTTACTCATGCCCAAATGTATTTTCTTTGCTATGCCAAGTTGGAAGAAAGATAGATCTGTAAAAATGAATTAGTTTGTATCAATTTCATTACATTCTGTCAACTGCTTTCTTTTTAATATGCCCGAACGTATTTTCTGTGATACATCTATATCTTAAAAACCGCATGTTCGATTTGGCTTAAAGTTGGAGGGAAGTTGAGGATTGATTAACAATCCATTCATTACTTTCTGAAGATACTTCCGCTCTCGAATCTGAAAACGTATTTTTTTTTAACACACCTATAGTTTGAAAACAGCTCGTTCTATTTTACTTTAATTTGAAGGAAATGTGTAGGATAGAATAGAAATTACTTAATATCAATGACATTGAATTCTATTCAACAATTAAAATTAATATAAATAACTTTTAAAAATATAATGGCTATGAAATGTGGAAGGTATTGATCATGTGAAAGGGAGATCATGTTCATAGTATTGTTTCATGAGGTTATAAAATTGTATACTGTACTCAAAAAGTTAACTTAAACTGTATGTTTTGTCATTTATATATAACTGGCATGACACCTACTGCCGTTACTTAGATTTTATATAATTTTCAGTGATTGAGAGGGTTAAAACTTAGATGGTCCCTTATAGATTTTGCCGAACCCCATACACAGCTTTCGCTTAGGTGTTTGATTTTCTTTTTATATATATATATAACGAATAAACAAACTCACAAATATGATGTTATTTTTATAATTTTATGTATATATATATATATATATATATATATATATATATATATATATATATATATATATATATATATATATATATATATATATAAACATAAAATTATAAAAATAACATCATATTTGTGAGTTTGTTTATTCGTTTTGAAGTTCAGCCAACTGAAGTGGTCTCAATTTTCTTCTCAAACTTTAAAGTAGTGTAAGGGGCTTTTTTTCCAAATCTTTTTGAGCTAGTTATGATTGAAGGGTGAAATATAAGTATTGATAAGTTTTAAGTCTCTATAGGTCTTCATTTCCTGTATTTTGTTAACTTCATCCATATTCTTATATTTCTTCTTGAATTATTTTGGTTCTAACTGATGGAAATTGTCAGTCAATCTGGTGAGGAAGCTATACTGACCTTACTTGGTAGACATTTTTTTAAGGTATTGGTATATACTACGAGAAACAAAATTTTTCAATAGAAATACAATAATTGTCTAGCAGACCACATATCTAATCGTTATGGGTTACATGTCATCTATGGGCTGTATTTGGCTAGGTCTGGTAGAGGCTATAGTTGATAATTTTGAACTTAAGGATCATGTTATCAAGAGAAACATATGCTGGTTTAATACTAAACATTGAAGAAATATGAGTGAGGATCTGGCAAAATAAAAAGAGTTTAGCTGATGATGATTGTTGAGATCTATGTTTTAGAACTAACATCTATGCTTCTTAAGGATTTTGGCTGGAATAGAATGTCATAAAAATACTGCACTTTGGTGCAGTATATGGATTTTTGCTTCATAAGGTTTTGTTGGAAATTAGTCATCATTGAAGAAGTAGTGTTCTGCAATATGAATGCATCTGCATCTCTCGGTAACATCTCTTTTTATTATCTCTTTGATTTTTATGTTAATCCTGAGAGGATATGGGGAAGGGATGAAGGCTCTGAAATGAATTTCTGCTAGTACCCACTGAGGTATTGGCACCCGTCTTGAAATTTTTATTACCATTTCCAGCAGATGTTCTGTATCGACCCTACTTGGTGCCAGCTCTTGCTTTGTTTAATAAACTGGACAGTACAGTGTATCTTATATTTGTGACTTCCTACTTTTTAATTCTATTTTAAATATCTCCATATTTCTTTTAAAACTGATGAATAAATATTGGAGCTTACTCTATCTCTGACCTCCATTAATGTTATTTTGTTGTTTTCCAATCTATGATGGAGCTCTGGATTAGCAAAATGTTGACTGGTCAGTTATTTACTGCTATTTGAAAGACTCAAGGCTTCGATTGTATTATTGTCACTAATAATTACACCTTAACTGTATAAAGATTCATTAATTATTTTAGAAATTTATTCTGTTTTAAATCTACAAACATTTATGTATATATATTTTTTATTTTTAAGTTAATAGCTGGATGGCTGAAAAAAGAGTTAAGAGAATTGGTATGCCAAAAATTTATGGTTTTGGATCACATGTCGTGAAGGGAGAAAAAATGAGGTTTATCGTTCTTCCCAAGTATGGTGATTCTATTCACAAAGTACTTATGAGGCACTCCCAAAGATTCCATATTAAAACAGCATTGACTCTGGCTTGTTATGTCGTAAGTATTTTGTTAAGACTTTAGTTAAGTAGTATTATAATTTTTTATAAATTGATAATCATTTAAACGTAGCATGCTTGTAACTCAACTTATCTTTATTTTGTGAAATGTATACAAAAATTATACATGGATAATTCAGTTATATTTGATTCAGGAAAGAAAAGAATTAATTCGCATATCAACATTTTTTTTTTTATTTCCTTACCATCAAAGGCTTCCCTGCTTTTAATTCATGCAGGAAGGGAACAAAAGGTTTATCTTAAGAATCATAAACTATCGCTTATGTTTTCCATTGTAGACATCAAGGAATATTGATTAGGTTTTTTTTTATGTCGGTCTATCCATATTCAAAGGGCTTGTTCTTTTTATAGTGTTAGTATTTGGTAACTTGGGAAAGCAGTAGTAGCGCAGACAATTGGTATTTTATGTAACAATTGAAAATATTTTTTATGTAAATCTAATTTTCAATTTTTTCTTTTTTCTATCCATAATAATTTTAATTTTTTATAAACCTATTTTTATTAGTTACTAATTGATTGATTATAACATAAGAAACAGACTGATTTAATCAAGAAGTCTATGTACTTTCTTATGAGCTGAATGGTGTTTATTGTTATATTTAGTTTGTTACAATAGTAAAAGTATTCTTATATGAGTTCTGGATTTTTTTTATATTTTTGTTTTAACGCGTTAGCTACGGTTACGTTCCTCAGGGTAGGATATTTGTCTGAACTACCAAACGGCTGGGATTGTTTCTAATTTTGTCTATCTTATGAAGTCTCTAGAATGGTCATTTTTAAAAATATTTGAATGAGAGCTGGATAGATGTAAAGATACGAGCGTAAATAATTATTATATCTGATAAAAAGTTTTCGGACACCGGGGACTAATATCGTACCAGACTGATAAAAAATAATTTCCCTACGGTATCACCCCACGGCATCTGATACATATTCCTGCCTTCTGTAGGCTTCTATCACACAGTAGCTCTTGAGAGTTCATCTTAGATTGATCCCCTTGCTTATTTAACATGTATAATTAAGTAAATAATAAATAACATACATCTAAATAATGTATAAATTATAATGAAGAGAAGAATAGTTGGGGTGGTCAGTCAAAAAAGAAGGCAAAAATAAATGATAATATTTATTTTTACATATTATTTGGCATATGTAAAAATAAATATTATCATTTATTTTTGCCTTCTTTTTTGACTGACCACCCCAGCTATTCTTCTCTTCATTATCCACGACAGTTAACCATTTACCAATTATGTATAAATTATATCTTGAAAATTATAATTGTATGTAATAAATAAACTTTTTCTCATTGCATTTTCAATATTTAAGATTTATATCTCTAAAAATAATACTTTTTTACTGAAATAAAGAAAAATAATTAAAAAATTCGTCATATAAATGGCATTGGACGTCGGAGTCCATTCCTGCAATTGATGGCCTTTAATGAGGACACAAACAACAGATAGAGACTCTGAATAGGGAATTTAATTCTCCTTTGTTGTCAAAAAATAGCGGTATACTTCAAAACTGATGCATGTCTCCGTCGTCCGATGCCGTTAGGAACTTCATAACTAGTGTTGATCACCAGGGACCGATATCGTCGGGAAAGACATTTAAGAGATATCATGCTCAGCAGCTAACGCGCTTAATAAAAATCAAATAGCCTGACGAGAATAAGTTTGGTATATATTTTTTTTATTGGACTAACTATGGATAAACAGAGTAAAACTTGTATTTTTAATTCAATCTGAAAATAGTTTAAAAATCATATTGTTATTATGATACAAGAATTAATTATATTGATCCCTGAACTAAATTAGTTATACTTCTTTTTTTTTTTGTCTCCGACATTTGTTTTGAAAATTTTAAATCAATGCTACTGTTAAAAATGTAGTATATATATCATTTTTGAGTTCCAAATTGTAATTGGTTATAAATATTTCTCGTATTGTCCTCCTTTAAGAAGGTAATTTATGGGTTCCATAATTAATAACAGTTTATAAATTAGTTTAATGTTCTTTATGGTTTAGCACAGTTAAATTCATATATATATTCTTTAGATTAAGAATATTTTATTTTTTTTAAAATAACAATATGTAAAGGGCTGGGCAACTTAATGTTAAAATTTCTCTAGACTTACAATTTTTAAAAGTGTATTGGAAGATTAAAACAATCAAAATGTAAATGTAATTCAATCGGAATAGAAATTATCCCAGATTTATCTTTTTGTCTCTGTTATCTTGTTATAATGTTCTCGAATCTATCGGCATTGGTTTGAGTAGAGCCTGATTGAGTTGAAATTTGGTGGCAGACCCTTGGAATGAATCTTGACCTTCCCACTCTGGTTAGAATATGTTTGGTCGTACTTCTAGTATGCCAACCCCTCCCTTCCCTGTATGCCAAAATGGCCTATCAGGGTATTAAAAAAAAAAAAAAAATGTACCTGGGGCATTCAAAGTCACATTTCTGATTGCCATTTGCACTTTGGAAACATTTTCCTTCTAAATCATGAAAATACAAAATAATATAGATATCGTAGTATAGATGAGTACCCCAAAGAGGTTGGTATCTGCCATGTTCCTGGAGTGGCCACTAAAAAAATCTAGACTATACTCTAATAGATCATGAATGGGTACTATAAGTTCCATCTGTAGATGTTTAGAACCAGAATTCCATTCCTAGTACTCTTCAAAAGTTGAATAATAACAACTGTTATTAGCTGGAAGTCAATATTAAATGGGTTACTTAAACACAAAATTTGAGAAGATATGAGTGGCCTCACATCGAAGACGACGGACATCTGTCATTTCTAGAAAGTTGAGAAAAAGCAAATTTTTGTAACATAGCTTCAATTTGACCAATTTTAATGACTGTTTTTCGAAATTCAACTTGAACATTGTGAATAAAATCATCATAAACAGTCTGAGTAGATATAATGATAGCTACCGTATTATATGAACAAAAATTGAATTTTTCTCCTCTTTCTAAAAATGATAGATGGTCCATCTTTGATATGAATCCATTCATATGTTAATTTTGACCGGCGGTTTTTATATATTTTTAACTGTTACAAATATATGTTTAATTTTATTTTGTATGAAATAAATTACATACATTATTAATTACTATGTATTTAATAATTAAAAGTATATATTTAACAATTTTGTGAAATATTATTTTTTATTTATGAATAGTAATTTAGATTTAATAAATTACGTTTATCAATAATCATATATTTTAGTTAATCAATAAAATTTTGCTTGCAGATTGATGTTCTTGAGTATATCCATAGCCATGGTTATATTCATTCTGATATAAAAGCATTAAATATGGTCTTAGGAGATGATTTTCCAGTGTACCTGATCGATTTTGGCCTAGTTTGCCGATTTAAATATCGAGATGGTACACACAAAGAGTACAACCCTGACGGGAGGAAGGCTGATGTTGGCACTCTTGAGTATTCTGGCAGGGATGCTCACATCGGTGGTAAGAAGATTTTTAACAATTTAATATAATGTTGTTCTAGTTTTCAATATATACATGGTGTCTACCAGTTGAGAATTTTGAGAAATCGGATTTGTTTCAGGAATTACCTGTTAATTTTGCAAAAGTTGGCAGTCGTCATTAGCTCTTAATTTTAACATCTTCCTTTAATTTTCGTAAACTGTGGTATTGTTTGGCTATTTATATTTTATTTTAATTTAAGCTGTTTATAGTTTCATTTTTAGTAAAACAATTAAATTAATAGCTATTTGTTGCAATTGTAATAAGAAGAACTTTCATTGGCAGTTATGGTAATGTGTTCTACTATTTATTTATTTTTCTAGTGATTTTGTTAATTAGATTAAGAAATTTCCTAGACAACTATTTAATTTCCTTTCTCCACTTTTATTAAGATATAAGTTAGAAAAAACAGTACTTTACAGTAGGTTACTTTTTTCTTTAGTTTCAACTCTTAAAATCTCAAAGCGTGTCCTGATTGTATAAATAAAAATATTAATCATTAATGTTTTGAATTCCATTGAAATGGAAATTTTAGAACCATCTATTTAAAAGTGTTTTCACCATTGAAGTCAATTGTGTGTTAAATCTTTCCAAATCAGCCATAGGATCTTAAATATTGGAAAGAAATATTATTTTAAAAATATATTGAAACAGCAAATTGATATAAAAAAATAAATAAATTTATATATCAGGCTTCTATATTTTTAATCTGTGAAAAGGATAGGTATTTAAATATCGAACAATACATATAGTATCAATATTGATATTGATATATCATTATATTTTTATTTTAGATGAATGGTTGACTAGATACTTATTGTAAGTGAAGTTGTTTGATTAAAAGCGTGTCTGTAGATCGACCTGGTTGTCATTTTACTATTGATCTATGATTCTATTCATGTTCTCTATTCTATTCATGCTATGTTCTCTCGTTTTTTCTGCAGTATTTTAAATTAGGGTTTGTCTTTAGTCTTGAGTTCATTACTAAAATATATTTTGCAGCTTCTAAATCAATATGATGATCAATATTTGTATTTCAATCACGACTGTAATAAGAAAAATAGAGTGAATGATAGCTACCGTATTATATGAACGAAATGCCGTTTGAATTTTATTAAGCTGCTAATTGTTTTAATATTGGTGCTTTTCATTATGCTACAAAAAGTTCAATTTATTACCCACCTCTTTTAGGAACTAAGCACCATGATTTTTTTAATATTTTAATAAATCATATACTAGTAACGAAAAATAATCTTATTTTTCACACTGGGTCACGGAAATTTTTCTAAATTCATGGTATTTTTATTGAAATTCAAATGTCAAAATTTTGAAATTTATTTCTTGAACCTGTGTTGTTTATGTAAATCTATTTAATCTATTTGTAACTCATCCCGAACTGTTTTCAAGTCTTTAAAAAATGGTGAACAAAAATGTTAAAACTATTTTTTTTTTTTTTTGTAATCTAAATACTTCAAATTGCATTTCAAATTTTATTATTAATTTCTGTAAGTGCTGGGCATGGACATTGAAAACTCAAAAGGTAGAACATTTGAAAAGCCCGGCATGAGTGTGTATGGCTACGGTATAGTAATCCTGTTATAAATCCTATTGCAATACTATCAAAATCAAACTCATCAAAATAAATTAATATTTAGAGAAAGTGTTCATAAAAAGGAAATGAGATATAAAGTGTGGTGTGTAAGTAAAGATTTTTAACTATCTTAAGTCAAAGACAAGATAACAAGGTTATGATAATAAGAAAGAGAAAGAAACTAAATAAAAAGATTCTTGATAAAATTAAATAAAAGATACTTTTTAAATTTTGAAAGAAGAACATTAAATTGAATTAAAAGATTTATTTTATTTTGGATTTACTTATATTACTGTTTAATTAGCAACAATTAAATATTTGATATGATGCATATCATCAACAGAAAAGTATCAATCAACAGAATTCACTTTTCATTTTCAAAAATAGTTTTATCAGAATTATTAATGTATTAAAAAATAATAATTTATTGATATTTTATTTTGGTGAATTCTAAATGAACAAAACAATTTTTTTATTTATTTAGAAATATTACAATCTGTCACGTGGACAATAATTATAGTGAAATATGAACAGAAAAACAAATTAATTTTTGTTTTAACATCTGAAATTTGTATTGTTTACTGATGATGATTTTATTTGTTTAATCATATTTCGTATATTTCTTTTAGTTATCTCCAGGCGAAGTGACTTAGAATCTCTTGGTTATAATTTAATTTCATGGCTTGGTGGAAAACTTCCATGGGAAGGTTGTACCTTTAGTGATGTTGTTACCCAGATGAAGGAAGACTCTCTCAATAATATAGACCAGTTTTTAGAGAAAATGTTTGGTTCTAAAAATATTCCAGGTAATCCTTCATTTATCTATTGGAATACAAATATTATCAATTTTTTGCTTGTTGTAATTCTGCAAAAGAATTTTTTGATTCTTACTGAGATAATTTTGAAATCTAAGGATTTGAGTATATTAGACAATTAAAGTTTTTTAATAAATTTCTTTTCATTATTTAGGTTGTGGTACAGCTATAATTAAAGAATACTTGGAGTATGTTTCTCATTTGGACTACAATACAGAACCTGATTACTTATATTGTAAAAAGTTATTTTCTCAAGGTATTAGAAATGCCGGTTTTGCAGATGATTACAAATTAACATTTGATTCTCACGCAAAGCTTAACAAAAAAGCTAAGAAGGTAATAAGGCTATTAAAATATTAAATTAATATTAAAATAATTGGCAACTTTAATCTATTTTTTATTTTTTTATTTCTAGAGGGTTCATGAAAGAGAAAATTGGAGAGCAGAAAAAAAGAAGAAAGTGTTTTTAGTAGGCAATAGGAAACCTTGTGCTGTACATAACCATAATTCGTATGTATAAACATTACATAAATATACATAATTCAAATTGCTATGTTTTTAGAAGCTGCCCAATGAGGACTTTAAAATGAGGAATTGCTCTTTTTTTCATAAAGGCAGTGGTTATTATATTTCATACATGTAGTTTCTCCGTTGTTTGTGCCATGTGATGTGAATCTGGTTCTTTTATAACCAAACCCATTTCTTATATGTGTGTATACAAATGTGTATTGGTTAAAATTTCTGTCCCATTAAAGTTACTGAGCAATAATGTCACATCACAACTAAAAGCAATTAATTAAGTTTTTCTCATGAACTATTCTTTTAGGAGTATATTCCCATTCATTATTCGGTAAAGTTTGTAATTATAATAAGACCCAATAAAAAATATATGAAGTGGATTTTTTAAACTTGTATATGTGGGTGTTAGACATGTAAAAAACAGAATTGCTAATGCGGGCCACCAAGGTAAAACTTATTACAGCCATAAAAGTCAGATTTTTTCAATATTTTTTTGTTTTTTTCACATATAATTCCTAAACGATGATCAAAGCGAAAAATGTACTCTTTAATAAATTACATTTAACTTTAAATTTTGTGTCAAAGGAGTACCACCTAAATCTAATAATTTGGTTAAGTGGTATAGTAGAAAACCACGGTCAACCAATGCTGATTTTTATCAAATTTGTCAAAAATTGAGACAAATTACTGTAACTGGCCTTGTAACTTGGGGATCAGTTCTCTAAGAGGAAAAACCCATAGAATCAAAATTGTAGAGCATCAAATTTTGTGTCCACTGAGTACTGACATTTTTATTGTAGGCTAATTATTTATCTTGAATCGGCATTCGTTATTTCTTTATGAAATTCGGTATCTTTGGACACATCGTTTATCAAAATTCTTTGCTGCTGAGAGGTGGAGAAGAGGCTTATACTGCATATAACAGACTCCATACAAAAATAACTCAGTAGAATAGACAACCATACTGTTGAAATATTGAAAATCACATATATTTTCATTACCAATTTCTAACCATCGGAAGATTACAGATTTTGTTCGGAGTAAGTGACCTAAATTAAAATAGTTGGTACTCAGTAGACGCAAAATTTGATGCTCTACAACTTTGATTCTATAGGTTTAACATCTTAAGGAACTTATTTTCAAGCTATAGGTCTATTTATAGTCTACTATAGGCTTATTTGTAGTATTTATTTGACTCGATTTTTCACAAACTTTGTACAAATCAGTGATGGTTGACCATGGTTTTCTACCATACCACTTAATCAAATTATTAGATTTGGGTTCTCCTTTGACTCAAAATTTAACGTTATGTGTAATTTATTAAAGAGTACATTTTTTGCTTTAATAATACATCGTTTAGGAATTATGAAAAAAACAAAAAAATCTGACTTTTATGGCTTTAAAAAGTTTTACCTTGGTGGCCCGTATTAGCAAATCTGTTTTTACATGTTTAAACCCACATATACAAGTTTAAAAATTTTGTCACATTTTTTGCAATGGATTTCCCGTTTCGATTTTCAAGCTAATGGTCAAATATTCTTTAAATTAGCTGCCATTTTTTAAAGCAGACAAGGTTGATTTTACTCAGAATAACATACACTTTCGTAATTTACATTCAAACCTTCACCTGCAATGAGGTCGATTTTTGGGCCCTGGCTCCAGCTATAGTGCTGTCACAACCCAGGGGTTACTAATGTACTAAGCTGTACATTGTAAACTGCTTTATGAGGGAGTCTTTAAATCTAGGGCTATTTAGAAATGGTGTGATGCCTAATCTCAATATTCAAATTTAACAAAGTATTGATTGATGCATTTCACCTAACCGACCCATTTCATGAGTTAGGTTGATTACGGGTGTTGATGCTTTCTCTCTAAAAATTTGTTAAAAGTTACAATAAATTCTGTTCTGCTTTTAGTCCCGGAGCAACACTAATTCAAGATCCTTTCCTCTATCTTTTTTATTTTTAAGATTGGTGTTTTGTTAAACTTTTCTGATCAAAATCTAATATATTAGGAGATAATTTAAGACTAATTTCGAATAAGGATTTCTGGTAGCTAAATTGATTATCGGTAAGAAAAGCATAGTTAGAACAATGTTAATTTGCTATAGCTAACATATACTAGGTTTGTCCAGAAAGTTCAAATACAAGTGAAAAAAAAAAATTATATTTAATTCGGTGATTCAATATTGTTCCCTTCAAAATATTCTTCCTGAGACACAATAGACTTATGCCATCTCTGTTTCCAATGTTTATTGTGAGTACTTTGTTTTATGGGCTTATTCTATGTCACAAGCACAATCTTGCATTTGATAATTGAGAAAGGCACATGCAGCAAAAACAGGTTATTAAGGATGATATTCTATTGCAGTAATTTATTTTAATGCTAAAAACTCAGGCATAACTAGTGAGCAAGGGGGCAGTTCTGATTGAGGATCAACTGCTTCTTTGAGACAATGTCAGTTGAACCCAAAAGATACGAGTATTGTTGTGTTTGAGAACAACAACATATAACTTTCCAACAGTCTGGCTTGAAGAGAAGTATTCTTGGTAATTGTCCAGATCTAGAGATTCGAAATAAAAAAGAAAATTCAAAATAAAAATTTGAATGTTATTCAGTTTTTTGTCCTTGGCTCTGTAGATGTTTCCTTTCTCTGCTTTGGGATGAATTTTGTGGAACTTCTTACCTATTCTCGTGTAGTTTCACTTTTCTTTAGTAAGATAAAGCTCTCTCTGTGTTGATGATTTGTATATATGAAAAACAGCAGAGTTTGAACAAGAGTGTGACAACACAAGTAGCTTGAGGGAGCCGCCACAAGTATGTTATTTCTCAGGGAGAGTATTTTGAAGGAGACAATATTGAATTACCTGATTAAATGAAAAATAATTTATTAGTTATATATACCTTCTGACAAATTTTGTATATCAGTATTTGATCTTACTTATATTTATTAGGATTAGCCCCAGGATAACAAGAGCTGTTGACAAAAAAGCAAAGAAGAAACGTCAAAAGAATTTTGACTGGACCTCTATTCTTGCTGGACATCCTGAAAAAGATTTGAAAAAAGAAAAGGCAAAAGAAGTACCAACTGTGAGGTAAATTTTAAGTATATTGATAGCCATAAATTATATCTATATCAATTAATGTTGTGTATGTTCTTTTTTGATTTTGTATCCTTTTAATTTTTTAGAAATTTTAAAGTACAGTATTTTTTAAATTAGTCTATTTAAAAGTATCTGCATTGGCGATAATTTTTCTAATCAATTAATCAAAATTATAAGGATGAACATCGATACGATATTTTTCTTATTGGGGTTGTTAACAAAGAAAGAATAGAATTTTCGCTGAATATATCTTTTAGATTTTTTTTTTTTTTTCCTTGAATGGCTTAGATGCACTGTGGTCATGAAGACCTATTGAACGCCTCTATTAAAGTCACTCCTTTTTAGTGCGTAATTCCTGCAGCCTCAGTGAACTGTAGTAAGTTTGCCTTGGGATCAATCACCCTATCAATGCCGAATAGTCGGAATCTTAATCCAGCAAACCTGTCACATCAAGTGATGTGATAAGCTGTTTCATCCTGCTGGCCACAGTACCTACAAAGAGACGACTCCGTTAGCCGGAGATTGAACATATGATAATTCAGTTTATTGTTGAAGGAAGTTAGTCGAGTCGACTGTTCTATATATCATGGGTGATAAATATTCAGGCCGCAGTATTTTTAAATTTTTTATTTATGCCAACGTTTCAATCAAACATCTGGGTCATCATGTTTGGGTTGAAACGTTGGCATAAATAAAACATTTAAAAAGACTGTGTCCTGAATATTTATCACCCGTCATAATTCAGTTTACAGTGTACAGTATATACCGCTATAATTTTCTTAAGTGAGCCCCTGCTCAAATTAATTAATAGGTTGCTTGTTTTCTGACAAGATTCCTTCCAGGAACAATCTAACAGCTGTGACATAAAGTCAGTAGACCATCCCAGATTTAAGCCCCCTTGCCTTCCCAATAGCATTCTTACATGCCCAAAGGCATTTTAGTGCTTTATTAGTTGTATACTCCACATGCTTATTCCACATCATTTTATTGTCCAACGTAATACCTAAGTGTTTCTTACTTACTCTTAGCTGGATGTTGTTTATTTTAGGTAGTCCTAATTCTATCTTTTTCTTCTTTGTGGAAATGCAAATGTTTGTCTTGGCCGGGTTGACATTCAGTCCACTAGACTGGCACCATACCTCCAAGATTCCTATCACTGTCCTCAACAGATCAGAGAGAACATTATGATATTTTCCACCTATAAGAATAGCAATGTCACCCCCATATCCTTTTGTATAAAAGCATACAGTATTTAGTTCAGAGCTAGTTAGTTTAGAGCAAGGAGTCCACCACCAAGCACCACAGTAATGGAGAGAGCACACCTCCCTTTGGACAACCGTCTCCAGGTTTGATCCACATTACGGTGTGTCCTAGTTCAGTTTTTAGAATTCTTGTATCCAACACATTGCCAATCCATTTGTTGACAAGTAGATCTGTTTTTCTTGTCCTTAAATTATTCATGACAGTTTTGTAAGGAGTCCTATCGGAGGCACTTTCTATATCTTCAAAGATACCTATCGTTATTTCCTTCTGATTCATGAATTTTTCAATCCTTGGAACCAGATTTTATATTGCAGCTTCGCATGATTTTCCAGGTTGGTAAGTGAATTGATTGAAGTGTAAGGAATTAGAATTCACTGATTGTTCTTATATGCCTCTCCAAAATTTTTTCTAGTGTCTTCATTGGAAAAGATGATATGCATATTGGCCTGAATGATTTAGGATCATATGATCCCATTCCAGATTTTGGAATAAAACACAGTTTGGATCCTCTCCATTCTGTAGGAAGGTAACCAAAAGCTATACTGCCTCTTAATTACTCTAAGAGATAGGGTTTAATTATTGAAAGTCCTTTTCTAATCAGTATTGGTAGCATATCATCCAAACCTTCCAATTTGTAGAGAGACAATGTATTAACTGCCCATTCCATAGTTACTGTAATGATGTTTCTTACTTTAATCCAGACTTCTTGATTAGTTGTCTAGCTAGGAAGTGTAGTGTCTGTACAAGCCTTTTCCAGTCTTATACCCAGAAAAGTGTGCTGAGAGTTCTGCGCATGCGTTAACCTTACACATATACTCTTTATTTCGTCTCTTATTAAGTGACTTTATTAACAGTGAAATAATTCATGTTATATGTGAAAAAGCAGTGTAAACTGTTAAGTTAACAATTAAGTTGAAACTGGACATAAACAAGGTGAGTAATCACTTATTTATAACGGCATTGTGAACAGTGTAAATAGACCTGAGGATAGTGATATATAACAAGCCGGCCATATACATTCATTAATCCGACCAGTGGGCTGCTGCCCTTTGGCGGAAGCAGATCTACGTTACTTAGACTTCTACAAACTCGCGTAATATATACGTAATTGATAAAGGACATTTTTTTTTTTTCAAATTATTACAGTTACCTCTAATTAAATTAATATGAGATGCGCTATTTTCATATGGTAATGTCGAGCAAAGGTAACAATCGAACTTTAAGATCTAGGAGTCTCGATACCACAAAGAGTTCACCCATCAAGAAAAGGGCTAGACGCTCTAAAAAAAATACCCCGCCAGCTACACCAGAGAGCTCAGTTGACGAAGTTGAAAATCAACCTGGCACATCATCACAAAATATGTCAACACAAGTTATACCAATACAAGGTACGCTAGAAGAATCGCCTTTTTTTACAGCTAATCCATTCCAAGTGCTGTCAAACACACAGAATGAACAAATGGAAGCAGTACCCATCCCTAGTGAACCTAAACCTCCACCAATATTCGTTAGAAATATAAAAAATTTCCAATTAATGTGTCAACAATTAAATAATATAGTGGGCTCAGGTAAATACGTATGCCAAAGCCGCACTAATGACACGAAATTAATGCCTGACACCCCAGATACGTACAGAAAAATTGTCAAGTATTTATCTGACACTAAGGCGGATTATCACACATATCAACTGCGCCAAGAGAGAGCGCTCAGGGTGGTGATCAGGAGATTACACCCATCAACACCGCTGGATGCCATTAAAGAAGAACTAACTGAGATGGGGTTCCGTGTTCGACAAATAGTGAATATATTCAAGGAAGATAGAGAACAGCCTGGTACAAAAAATAAAATACCGCTCCCACTATTCTTCGTTGACCTTGACCGAACGCCCCAGGTCGAAGAAATCTACAAGGTCACACGCCTTTATTACACTAGCGTTGTTGTAGAAAAGCCCTACACTAAGCGCGACATTGTACAATGCCATAACTGCCAGGCTTATGGTCATACGAAACGCTATTGCCACCACATTCCTAGATGTGTCAGGTGCGGTGATCAACATAAAACTGAGGACTGCCAGAAGTCCAGAAGAACACCAGCAGTATGCGCTTTATGCCACCAAGGGCACCCAGCGAACTACAAGGGTTGCCAAACATATAAGGAACTGAAAGCAAGAATTTATGCAGCTCCAAGAGAAGAACGGCCATCCAGGCCACCAAGACAACCCTCTAGAACTGTAAATACAAGAGTGTCCTATGCTCAGATGTTCAAAGGAGACACTGCACCCACACAAACTCAGGCCCTGCCACAAGAACCTCAACCTCGAGTATTCACATCTCAACCACAAGACCCTTATCCCATCTCTGAACCTAGGCCTAATAACCAGACATTCATTCCTCCTCCTCCCAATGCCACTGACCTCACAAGCCTATTGACTTCTTTCCTCTCTGAATTCAGGTCACTCATCACTCCTCTCATTTCCTTGCTTACCAATGTTGTATCCAACCTCATCCCACTGTCGAGAAATCCTTAAATGTCCCCAATCAAATCCCTCTCCGTTCTCCTTTGGAATGCGAATGGTATTCGAAATCACGTCAACGAACTAACAATCTTATTACAGGACAAAAACATTGATATAGCATTAATAACTGAAACTCGACTTACCAACAAACGACCACTTAACATCCCCAACTATCATATCTATCGAACCGACCATCCTGATGGAACAGCACATGCTGGCACTGCCATAATTATCCATCAATCCCTTTCCCATCATCTATTCCCTTTGCTAACCCATAATTTCCTACAATCCACTGCCGTGATAATCCAAACTTCCCTTTACCCAATAGCAGTAGTCGCAGCATACTCCCCGCCTAAAATACCCATCTCAGAATCCCAATTAACTTCCTTCCTTAACTCCTTAGGACACCACTTCCTTCTAGGTGCAGACTTAAATGCTAAACACCAGCAATGGGGAGCCAGAACCACAAATTCCCGAGGACGAACATTGCTATCTGCACTTAATTCCCATCACAGCAACATCCTCTCACCCAATTCTCCCACATACTGGCCAACAGATCCTAACCGCAATCCCGATCTCCTAGATTTTTTCATCCACAAAGGTCTAGGGTCCCTTCATTATTGCATCTCAAGACTTGATGATCTTTCCTCAGACCATAGTCCCCTAATCCTAACGGTCTCCACATCACCAATTCCCAAACCACCTCCACCTTCATTTATCAGGGGGCCAGTTAATTGGAACCTCTTCCGTCAAATACTGGATGATAATATTGACCTCAGAGTTTCCTTAAAAACACCCGCAGACCTAGATGAAGCAGTATATTCCATGACTACCTTGATCCAACAAGCAGTTTGGACTGCATCTTCACCTTATCCTTCTAAAAAATACCGCAAAATAAATCCTCTACCCCAAGACCTACTGGACCTTATTAATAGAAAACGATGCTCTAGGACCATCTGGCAAAGAACCAGGCATCCTGATGATCGGAAATCATATAACTATTATTCCAAGCAGGTAAAACAAAAACTGGCTACGTTTAGATCCCAATCCTATAATTCCTATCTTTCCTCACTATCTGCAAGTGATAACTCCCTCTGGAATGTAACTAAAAAAATCCTTAAATTCCAATCCATTTCCCACCCCCTCCGCCGTGATGATGGTTCCTGGGCTTCGTCAGATGAGAATAGAGCAGAAGAGTTTGCTAAACATCTATCGTACACATTCACTCCTCATCCTGAACTCCATCCCTCCCATACTGCTGAAGTTAAAGAATTCCTCTCTTCACCGATTCCTCTCTCCTTACCTCCTACAGCCGTCAACCCCTCTGAGGTCAAATTCCTTTTAAAGAACCTAAAACCTCGCAAATCTCCAGGACACGATCTCCTTACTTCCCAGATCCTCAGACAACTTCCCAAAAAAGCAATTATATTCCTTACATACCTATTCAACTGTATCCTCCGCACAACCCACTTTCCTCTGGTGTGGAAACACTCCATAATTATCCTCTTTCCTAAACCAGGTAAACCTGTTAATTGTACATCATCCTATAGACCGATAAGCTTACTTCCGATCCTTTCCAAAATCTTTGAGAAAATCCTTCTCAAACGCATCCTACCCATACTCGAATCCCACAATATCCCTTCCCATCAGTTTGGATTCCGCTCAAGACACTCCACTGTCCAACAAGGCCTTCGCGTTGTGGACCACATATCCTCTGCACTTGAAAACAAGCAATATTGCACTGGTGCCTTTCTGGACGTAGCTCAAGCTTTCGACCGGGTGTGGCACGATGGCTTGCTTTTCAAGCTCAAAACCCATTTACCTCAACCCTTGTATCTAGTCCTCAAATCCTACCTTTCAAATCGCTCCTTTCAAGTCCGCTGCGGCACTGAACTCTCCAAACATTATCCAATTGAGGCTGGTGTCCCACAAGGCAGTGTCTTGGGCCCAGTTCTCTACATCCTTTTTACCGCTGACATCCCTTCAAGTCCTGATACCTTCCTAGCAACATTTGCTGATGATACTGCCATCCTATCCTCCCACTCGGATCCTCTAATTGCGTCCCGGAACCTGCAAAGACACCTCTCCTTCATTGAGCAGTGGTGCAACAACTGGCGCATCAAAATTAATGAATCAAAATGTAAACATGTAACTTTCACTCTTCGACGCAGATCCTGTCCGCCAATCCTTTTTAATTCAATTCCTCTTCCCTACTCAGACACAGTCCGATACCTTGGCTTCCTTCTGGACAAAAGACTGACTTGGAACCCACATACGAGACTTAAAAGACAAGAGCTTAACCGACGATTTGGTCAGCTATATAGACTACTAAACAGAACATCTCATCTCTCAACAGAAAACAAATTATTAATCTACAAGACCATACTGAAACCTATCTGGACCTACGGACTTGAGCTGTGGGGGACAACTAAATCATCGAATATCAAACGCATCCAATCCTTCCAGTCTAAAGTCCTTCGAACAATAGTCAATGCTCCATATTATGTCACGAACAAGACCCTACACCATGACCTTAACATCCCATATGTCCATGACATCATCCCATCCAGATTCTCCAACTTTCACCAGAACCTCATACATCATCCCAATCCTCTAGCCCAATCCCTATCCAGCTCCGAGCATCCATACCATCCCCCTCGAAGGTTGAAACGGCAGTGGCCTCGAGATCTTTTGTAAATATGCCTTTGGAGTCCTGGCAATGGCCAGCTTCTCCACTCATGTCCTGAGCGTCTGTGGCTCTAGTGCCCTCTTTCAGTCTCCACTGGCTTCTAATACTAGTGATGCGGCTGGAAAAGTGGCGCTGGGATCTTCCGGAGTCTTGCTTTGCCTTCCACGTGTGGGGGAAAAAGCCTGGTTCGGAGATTCTTGGGTGAATGTATATATTGTATATAGTTATGATTGTGTTTAGAAGTTTTTATTTTATTTTATTTGTTTATTATTATTATTTTTTTCTTTTCTTTTTATTTATCTTCTTCATCAGTATTATTTATTTACTTCTTATATTTATATTTATTTCTTTATTATTTGTATATATTGTATGAATGAGAACTTTTAGCCCTAATGCTTATAGTCCTCCAGCAGTGGCTGCATGTATTATTATTCAATAAATAGGAAAAGTGTGCTATTGCCAGTTCTCTCAGAGCTAGCCCAGAGTCCTCCACAGCCTTAGGCATTGGATCTCAAGAGACCTCTACGTCTTTAGTTGGTGGCCCAGAGGGCACTCCATTTGGGTCAAGTATCTCCTTGGAGCCTTTGCAGCAAGCAATGGCTCCTTGAACGCGGGCCCATATTTCGCCCTTGCACCCTTAGCTTCCTGCCTACCACTAGGTACCTTGATTTTCTCTTGTGTGCTTGAATCAGAGACCAACACATTGGAAATCTTCGGCGTTATTTGCAGGGTCTGGGATGACCCTTGTATCCTTAGCCAAGTGCCCTATTGTGGAATGTATCTGGAAGTGCCTTTAGAATGATTTTGGTAGCAACTGTATTCCTCCTTTGCCATCTTCTCATTGTTTTCGATAGTTTCAGTGTAGCAGGGACTGCTTCTTTTGGAGCCAGTCCACCGCCTACCATTTGAACATTTAATTCCGTCAGACCTGTTGATAGGCCTGTTTCTTGAAGGTTTTGTGGAGGTGGGGCAACAGCTCCAGCCTCAGCTGTGGTCACCCTCCTAATCTCTTTTCCTTCGGAACAAACCTGAAGTCCTTCGTCTTCAGCTGTGAAAGATCTAAAAGTCAGGGTTTTAAAGTTGTGTGGAAGAAGAATCTTCCTCGGAAGAAAAAGTTTTTAAGTTTTGTTGATTTTTGTTTGTATGTTCGTTCATCTTGTTCCCACGGGTATGGGGGAAAATAGATTGTAGGTACTGCCCCCTCTCCCTACAGCTACTTACAATGGGGTGTCGCCCGGTTCCCCAAGTGGGTCGATAAGATACAGTATATATTTACCTACCCTCTGCCATTCAGCCTCAGCTTGAGCTCCTGTACCTAGCTTGGGTGCCTAATAGGTTCATCACAACTATCTCACATATATGTACATACATATATATGGTAGAAGCTATGAATCCCTCCTCTGTCATCGGCGAGTCCCATCGGACTCCTCGGGGAGTACCACATGGAGGTGATAGTAGGCATTGGTAGAGATAAGGAGATGTGGGAACTCACTTGCAGTGTGTAGGACACTAACGCTCGATCGTTCCGCAAAGAGTGGGGGAGACTTCAGCACCCATCTCCCTCTCTAGACCTCTCCTTACCCTACCTATTTGCCCCCCTATCTTTTAGATTTTGCTCAGTGGATGTTATGTTGATATTCTACAAAAATTCTGATCTTGATATTTCATTATTTAGCTTATAATTAGCTTTATACTTCTAATTAGATTTGATAATGGTAACCGTCTTCATTTCTTCCATATACTTTATTATAATGTAATATACTTATTTGGTTATCTTAAGTCATTACTAGTGAAATACTGATTGACATTCATGGAAATCATAAGATTGACATTCTAAGATAATTGAAGAGTGAAAAAATTAAATTAATAAATAATTTGACTAATTTTCCTTCTGTAAAATCACAACATTATCCACTCACAATTAGTGTAAACTTTTGATGGTAGGTGATAAAAACCTGGTAACTCCACTTCACTGAATGTTACAAGAGAAAAAAAAAGAGTTTAATAATTTGTGTATTCAGTAATATGACAATGATATGAGATATTCAGATTTAGTTCCTATAAGTTTTACTATGTAGGGCAATCCTTACTAATTTATAGATTAAATATATAAATATATTTTCAAATCTCTATTTACGAGGTTTTTATTGCCTACCATCGATTTCATAAATAAGGTTTGTTTTCTTTTAATGGTACTAAAGAGTTTTTACAGGTTAGCTCTAATTGTAAAGGTTTAGCTCCCTTAAAAATGCACTTCAAAAACTTATTAGTATGTAAATTTGCCAGAAAATAATTTCTAAAAATTATCAGCAGTATGTGAAATTTGTGATGCGCAAACCAGATTTTTTAGCTTCGGTTTATTTGAATCTCAGTCAAAATATATATTTTTCATTTAAACTCTTGCTATAGTGACATTTTTTTAAGTTTGTTTAATTTTAAAAATGTTATTACTAAAGATCTAATAAAAAATTATCATTAATTGTTATTTTCTGTTACCCTTCAAATGTTTTTACTTTCACTTACCTATATAAGTGATATATAGTAAGAGTAAGTATTGCGATCGTGAAATTTATTTTATTAATAATTTTGGATTGATGGTTGGCTGTCGTGAATAGTTAAAGAGAAGAATGGCTGGGGTGATCAGTAAAAAGATAAAGTAAAAATAAATACGTATATAAAAATAAATATGATATAATATAATAAAAATGAATATACTATAATATAATACTATAAAAATAAATATAATATAATATAAATACTTATTTATTTTTAGACTGATCACCCCAACCATTCTTATGTTCAGTTTTTTATTAATGGTGTTTGTCACTTTTTGTTTTGTTGTAGCAACTTAATTCCGCTGACTAGAAAACCAAGGGCTAGTTCATTGGCTAATCCAACTTCAGCCATGTTAAGAGTCATGGAAAGAAGAAAGCAGCGATTCTCTGATTCTTCCAGAAGAAGTAGAAACGATAGGTATTAAACTTATTTATAGATTTAGTTATGTGAAAACTTCATTTCCATTTCATTCAAATATTATGTTTATTTCAGAAATTATTGACTGGACAAAAAATATTAAATAAATTAAAATTTGTACATATCATTATTATTATTATGCACAAGCACAACACCATTCCTGGTTATATCTTGGTGACATAAGTTTATGTGCATGATTAGTTAGAATAAAAAAAAATACAAGTTCAGTTTGATCAGCCTGCAATTAAATTTTTTATTTATTTTTTATCATAACTAATCATGCGCATAAACATATGCCACCAAGATATACTTGCTTGCATGTTAACCGCTTATCGGAGAATCAGATAGTGACTAAACTTGTTATAGGAATATCTAAACTTTCGAAGTTTGTGTATGACAATCCATGAAATAAATTCATATTTACTTATTGTGTGATAAGGAGATGCCAATTATAAATTTTGTTTAATATGTAATTAATCCTAGGTTTACCTGAAATGTATGCAGGCAAGCTGCTAGCAATAATTTCTGGTCCTAGACTTTCTCCTTTATTAATGATTTTTATTTGTAAATTTTAATGTTTCAGTTGTTCATTACTGAATGGTGAATTGTGTACCCCTGCAATGGAAGAGATACTCGTGAAAAAACTTTCTTCTACTTCCTCATCTACCAGAATCCTCAGATCAACATCCCGTCGCTCTAAACCGCTGAAGTAGGTAGTTTATTTTGAAGACTACCTCTTCTAGCAATATAAACGCTGTCAGTACTATTCGCCAGTTATGCCCAGTGTATAGTGTTGGTAATTATAAAATACAGTAAAATGATCTGCTGTTCTCTCCTTTCAAATTTATTTGAGATTAATAATTTGTAGTAGACTACTTTTTCCTAAAGAAAACTAATGATTCAGTTAGACCTCAGTGATGGACAAATTTTTTAAGATTATAAAGATTTTTAACTAAATAAAATGTGTACATTTTTTCTTCATTAAATTTGCAATATACTGCTTCACATTACAAGATAATTTTGATAACATCTGTATTCTAATAAACTTGAATTTTTTACTTTTATGTTTATTGTATTCATATACTCATTCATGTAATACAATGTGATATACTCGTAACCTCGGGTTTAATTTTGTTAATATTATATATTTTTTGTATGTTTTTATTTATTTATCTCTGAAAAATACCATGTTTTATATAATCTACATGTCTAATAGTTTGACTGTTGTGATTTGTTGATGAATGTTTTGATAAAACTAAGTAGTTAATTTATTATATTGTTATGGTTTTGAGATCCTTCAAAGGTATTTATTATTTTTAAAAACCTTAAACTCTTATTTGTTTTGTTTATTAGTCTTGTATTTAGTTTTAATGTTATTTTTGTAAATAATATAATGTGTATTATTTTTTGGAATAATGTTCCTTCAATTGTAAATAACTTTTGTAGTATTTTTATTGTCTTATAATATTAAACTATAATGTAAGATAACATAGCAAGATAAGATAACAGTAAAATAACATTACTTTTCAAAAGATGTGTTTAAACCAAATGTCAACATATATTGTTGCCAATTAAAGTTGATAGCAAATGTTGGGAACATTCTTTGATCCTTTCGACAGCCTGTGGGAATTGTCGTCAAGGAATGTTGCTCTAGAATTTGTCTAAAAGTTGTCGACATTTGTTGGTAACATTGTTGCTAATTTGAGTATAAACATGGCTTAAAGCTAAATAATTTTTTATATTATGTAAAGAGGAGGCTGTGTAATTAAGAGACTTCCATAATAGTTTTTAGACTTTGAATATTAATTTTGAAGGTGATGGAATCCAAAGTTGTCTAGTCTATAGATATTGGCTTTCTTTTGTGAGCATTTCTAGTTATACTGACTGACTTTCCGGTACCATGTAATTTGAATGAGGTATGCGTGCAATTTTTTATTAAACCTAAAAACTGTTAATGAAGCTTAAAATAATTCTAAGTATTAATATAAAGTTTTCCATTTGATGAACTCTTTAGTGTCAGAATATTTATTAAACAAATTATATAGATCTGCTGCATTCCTTTAATAACAAGTATGTAGTGTTTAAGTTATTGTAAAATATATATATATTAATTGTTATGTAAAAATACGTTCTGTAAGTGGTGGTTTTGTTAAAACGAGAAATATGCTTTTGCAAACAGATGTAGTTGTAAGTTATTAATTAGGCCATATTGTGAAAATAAAGTTTTATAATTTTTGATGCTATGTATGGATTATTTATTTTTAATATCAATATGTAATTATACCAATTTAAGTTAAGAAGAGTGGGTTCTCTGGACTTCTGAGGATTTATTCTGAAGTGGTTAGGTTTGGATATAAGTTATTCAGGCAATACTTTGCTTAGATTGATTCATTGGTTTCTGAACTCTCCATGATATATAAATGTTGAGATATTTTAGTCCAAATATTCAAAGCAGTCGTTATTATTTGGTTTTCGACACTATCTTTTTCCTTATCCGACTCTAACTCAGCATCACATCAAAATACAATGTTGAATTATAGCTCATTACAAAGAGGATGAAATGCTAAACATTTTCTTGCTTACATTTTAGTATAATTTTGATATATTAATCCATATGTTCAACAAAACTCGTTATTTGGTTTTGCGATGTTTTTCCCTGTTTGCCTCTAACACTTTTTGAATAAAGATACAATTTTGGATAATAGCTCATTACAAAAAGAATGAAATGCTGAAAATTCCTCTCGCTTACATTATGCAGGTGCGATTTTAAGTGTTGAAATTTAATTTTAATCAAATGTGTGATCCTCATAAACCAATAGAAGTTTAAATTGTATACTTAATAATATTTGAGTAAATATTATTCCAACACCCTTAAAAGAAGTGTTGAAAGATTTGAGAGGAAAATCCTCTACATGTTAACCGGTGAAATCTGGGTTGCAATGGGTTCAGAATATTTGCACATAGAGAAGAACCAATACAGAACTGCTCAGAGAAACTGTTGCCAGGGATGCCCGCAACCTATTCAACATCTGAAACTGGTGAGCGGTGGCACCTACCTACCTGATGAAGACTTGTTGAAGAGGTCAAGGACCTCCTCAGTCTGTTGTGCCAAGGAGTGTGTTTCAGAAACCGGTTAATTGTTATCTCAGGATATGAAGGCAAGAAGGTTTAGATAAATGGGGCATGTAGCTGTCCACATTAATCCATCACAAAATCTCTACCTAACAATGAATACCTCAATGATAAAAAAAGACCAGATGGCTTGATTGAATCAACAAAGATGCTGAAGAGCTGCATGCAAGTAAGTGGAAAACACTAGCTCAATATAAGCAGAGGTGGACAAGGCTTGTTAAGGTGACCAAATATTACAGTCTGTAAAACCAAAATAAAAATATATATATTTTTTGGTGGGTAAATCCTGTCAGTTCTTAAATCAGTATACTCATGCTCTATCTTATGAGGGAAAACATATTCAATTTCAAGATGATATGTAGTGATATTTTGATCTTTGTCCTCCAGGTTGGGGGTTGGGCATAGAGCTAATTACCCTATCACATCTTATTATGAAGCCTCGGAATATAATAACAAAACATGGTAAAATGAAATTTAGCAAATTACTCATAAACGAGATTACTACAATATTTATTACATTTTTTTTTTCTCCTAGAAAACTAGTTTCATAGTTAAAGTGTCATTTCTAGAACAAGATTTTGTTCCATAAATCAAACTTCAGTTGTGAAATTAGTTTTCGGGTCTCGATGCTCCCCGCGGAAGTTATTCCAGATCTCTATGTGGCCCGCGGACCAAAACGTTTGGAGATCCCTTGGCTAATAGTCCCTGATAGAGACCCCGTTTTATCGAATTATTAACATCCGCCTGAAGCTTCGTAAGTAGTTTCATCTCATCGTAACCTACAACTATTTTAATTTACGAAAACTCTTGGAATTGGGGTATTTTCAATCTGTAGAGGGGCAAACTTTGTCTGTTTAATTAGGTACTAAAAACTCGTAAATACCCATTTTCTTTCAACTTGGATTGTAACATAATTTGATCACAAAATCGATAAAAAAAAGGTGGCCTACAAAAATATTGGGCCGTTTGTCCTATATAACATCGTTATTTTGAAAATTTGGGGGTATAGGTCACGCCAAATATTTTTGGCTCAATATTTTTGAAGGCCACGCCGAAAGTACATGTATATTTGCAAAAAAAACTTATAAAATTGATAAAGCAATGGGAAATATCACAGTCTAATAATCTGTGAATATATATTCCGTAAAATCAATTTACTAAAAACAATTTATATTTATTCACAATGCTGCATGTGATTTATTTATTTAATCATTATTTGTTTCTATGAAAGAACCCGGCACAAGTAGAGTCCATCTCTAAAATCTACATGGCATTAAATATCCCATAGATATTTTCGTTCCTGCAGTAAACTAATGTACGAATGTCTCTGTTTCATTTTTATTTTCACTTACCAGTAGATCCGAACGAGCTAAATTCCTTTTTCGCTAACTATCACTCTTCCGCATTTCCATCTGATCTCTCACTTTTTTCCACCACAGAAATCCCCTTTGATCCTGATAAGTTGTAGTTTTTTGATATTTCTTCCACTGACCATCTGCCATCCTTAAATCCAAAACTAATGAATGTAGACCTGACCAAATACCCGTTAAAATCATTGAACTCTATCTTCCAGCCTTATTTCCGGCACTATTGCACATATAAAATTTCTATCTCCAAAATTTCATCTTCCTCAAAGTCTGGAAAAAAGCCATTGTCTGCCCGTTAAACAAAGCTTCTTCCTCAGCTTCCGGCTTCAGACCCATCTCCATTTTATTCAATCTATGGAAGCCACTGGAAAGAATAGTTCACTCTCAATCCATTACATCCGGTTTTCATTCCCATTATTCTACCCAATCTGCCTTGCTAAAGATTAATCAAGACCTGCAACTCTCCATAAACAAACAAAAAATGTCTATCCTAATCCTAATCGCATTTTCAAAAGCCTTCGATTCCGACAACCATAAAATCCTCCTTTCCAAAACTCCACAGCCTGCCCATATCAAACAGCATTCTAAAATTGTTCCACTCCTTATCCCACTGCTAATTATATTAAAAAAGTATCTCTTAAAGTATTATTGTTCGTGTAATTACATTTAAAAGGGCTTTAGGAATCACTTAAACAACATTTCATATAGGTAGTTAGTTTCTTTCTTTTTTTCCAAAGTAATTATCGATATTTTTATGAAAAAAACAACTTTCGGGCTGAAGCCCCCTCCCCAAAAATAAATCCTGGATCCGCTAGTGACTTAGTTTACTGCATTGTTTCAGTATGATTGCAATAGCAATTGGAATTAACATTCAAATGACAATAACTTAGTATTTTATCAAGCCAGACTAATGGACCAATGTTTTGTACTATGTTATTATTATTCTTACGGGACTTTAGTGCCAGAATAAAATTATCTTTTCATTTCATTCATGTCATGTGTAATGTATAGTAAGGTTTGTGATCGTGAAAATTTTCGAATCTGAGTTTTCAACGGAAATACACGTTTTGAGGCCTCCTGTTATCAAACAACCACGTCCCGCAAAATAGTCTATGCGTACCTGAACAGCCTAGCTCAAAAAGGAAATGTCAAGACGAAATTGATATTACTTATTTAAGATAGGCATATGCCTGGGACGTAACAGCAACTTTTTCGTGAAAATGGGATAACCGGAAGTGCCACTTTATATCCTTGATTTTCCACGTTTTTACAAATTTTCTGAAAAACGGCTCTAGCGATTTCGATTAAACTCGGTGTATCAATGTATAATTTTATAATTGCCAGAAAATAATTCATTATTAAAGTAAAGCGGTAAGTGAAAGATGTGTGATGCACAAGATTTTTTATTCACAAACATTAGAGGCTTTGACAATTTGGTAATAATATTATGTTATTCGCTTGGATACCCAATGTTCACAATTTCTTCCTCTAAAGTATCTTTCATTTGGTTCATTTTGAG